CGTCCAGCCCACTTGATGGTCTGACGTGGAGTCTCAGATCCATTGATGATTTGGACCTTGAAGGTGTACTTGGCGCTGTTAGCATCTGCTGGAACAGTGCAAAGTTTGTAGGTGGTAGAGCAAGAATCGTCGATTTCGCATTCATCGTCGAGGTCGATGAGAGGAAGGATTGGTTTGTCGCGCAGCTTAGACTCGAAGCTGGTGTATGCGTCTTTGGCAATCTTCATGGTGAGGAATAGGTTGAGGGTAGCTGAAAGCTATTGTGTTTGTTAACAAAATGCACTACGCTAAAAGCTACTAGTAGTGTAAAGATCTTTCGAGTGTTTTGAGTTTGAGAGAATGAAAGTTATGAGAGGATTAGAAAGCTATGAAAACTAATCAACGAGAGAGATCCACAATCAAAGGATCGTAGATCTGAACTCCCACGGGAGACTGTAGAGTGTGATAGAGTAGGTTGCGGTAGCAATCCTACTCACTCCACGATCCAGAAACGGAACGCGTGGAAGATTCGTCTAGCATTTATCTAGTAGCGTGGAAGTACTCCACGCTGGCTAAATATCTAGAGCGATGTTTCATCATCAACCTAGTATGACTAGAGCGGTCATTGAGAACCCTGTCTCAATAACTATTCACGAGAGACTCAGTCATGAGTCGAACTCAAACCCTATCTAGGATCGAGTCGCGAATAAGGCTAAGAGCCGTGTATTGCAGAAGCGCTGAAGGCGCTGGTCTATGACTGGAGTCGGCACCATATGGGCTGGTGGAAGCCAGTCAGACTGCAGATGCATTCGTGGATTGTATTCATCACTGCTATTGTTATTGTCTGTGTTGTCCTCCTGCATGTGGCCAATACAGAAGGCTTTCACCCTCAGGTCCCTGGAGTACCTGGTGAGGGTGTTTGATTCGATGTCATTCCAAGTGTGGGAGTATCTAGGTGTAGGAATGAACTTGTGGCCCAGGCCCAACAGTGAGTAGAGGCCCGGCGGGGCTTAATTGTCGTGGTAAGGTCGTGGTATGCAAGATTGGTAGGCCTGGCAAAGTAGTACCAGGCCGGCATATGAAGGAGTCTAATTTGTACATTGTCGTGTAGATGGAGGTCGGGGTCTGAGACGAAGCCATATGTGAGCTCTATCTCCTTGTCGATCGCCTGGAGGACCTGCTTCTCCTGGTGTTGGAGTTCTGCCTCCTGCTGGGAGAGGAGCTTCTGGAGCGGCCTCTGGTCGATCTTGTGGAGCCTCTGGAGGTAGCGTTGCCTCTTCCTCCGGCTCTTCCTCCCCTTCCTCGTCCTGCCCTGCCGCCGCGGCCGCCTTGGCGGCCTCTGCTTTGGCTTCTTGGGCGGTTGCCTCTTGGGGCGGACTGGGACCTTCCTCGTTGGGTTCTGCCGCCTCTGGCGGACTGTTGTTGGTTGGGAGATTTCTTTTTGTTGCTGGAGGCGCCTCCCTGGGCTGGGCCCCTCCTGTTGTTTTTTGAGCTGTTGGTGCTTTGATTGTTGTTGCGCTGTTGGTTGAGCGCTTGGGTGACATGTTTGCCAGTGGCTCTGGCAATTTGCGTTTGGGTCTGTTTCAGTTCCTCCTGTACCATTTTCTTGACCAGATCCTTGATCTGTTGGGAGTCAGAGGCAGGTTCACTGTCAATCTCCATTGCAGTGTCTCTGTGGCCTTGGTTGTGAAGCCTCTTTGTGTAGCTTCTTGAGAGCAAGGGACTTGACATTGTTTGAGGATTGGTGCTGGTACTGTCAATGGGTGTGCAGAAGACACTTGTGATGAGTCTCTCCAGCTTGGCCAACTCTGGGATGGAGGGCTGCTGGGCTTGTTGCTGATATTGTTGTATCTGCTGCTGGAACTGCTGCAGTGCCTGCTGGTGTTGCTGGAGGGCCTGCTGGTATTGCTGGAGCTCCTGCTGGTGTTGATTCCATTGAGCTTGGTACTGTGCTAGTGCATGTTGATATGTTTCCATTGCCAATTTATAGGTAATTGCTGCGTCATGGTCTTGTTCCAGCTGAGACTGTGCTCTCTCTTTGGCTTCATTGTAGTCCTCAAAGGATTCGGCACTAGCGCCTCGTGCTAGGCATCGCTGGATGTGTTCCTGGGTGGCCTCGAGGTCGCTGTGGCTAGAGACAGCAGTCAATTGGTCGATGGAGTAGGGCCCCTGCAGGTGGGGAGCCGGGGGTTCTGCTGGCTGGACAGGCGCATGTGTTGTTGGCTGAGCAGGTGCCACAGGTGGCTGAGGCTGTTGCTGAGTGTCAACTACTGGTAATGGATCAGGCAGGGTTGCAAGACCTTGGACGTTAATGTATATTGTTCTAAATGCTGCTAGGTCAATGCCAGTGTGTTTGAGCAACACCTCGTGGTGTGCCTCCAGGATGGTGTTGACGATTGCATGGCCATTGAGATTCTCTCTGCCGCAGATGACCTTGTGGCCATTGGCAATGGGCAGAAGGCCTCTAGCCAGGGACTCGGCTACGGCCTTTTGAGCATATTGGACGTCCAGTTGTTTCTTTCGAATGAGAATTTTTGCTTGGGTTTGTTTGTAGAGTTCAACAGCTTGTGTGGATTCTTGTTGGAGAGCTTGGAAGCTCGCATCGCTCTCCATTGCTGGGTTGCCAGCCTTCAGTTCGAATTTGATATCGACTGATTTCGGAATCCGGGACGGGGTCAATTCCCCGGTTTGGTTGTTGCCATCAATCATACCGTCGAGAGTGTCCTTGTTGCGCTGGTGTGCCGCAAAGGCTTTGATAAATTCCTCTCCTACTTTGTTGACGGTACGGTGGTATGCCTCATGGAGCGTCGCAGTGGTGCCATGTAGGAAATTCAGGGCGGCTTGCAGTGGGGCCACTCGTGATTCCTTTTGTGTTGCATCGGATCGGTATGTCTGAGGGTTGATCGCGGATGGATCAAAGGCAGTTCGTTTCCTGCTGGGGGAGCCATCATCTTCGCGCTGGTTGTTGTTCCTGTTGGCGCTGGTGTTGCGGCCATTGGAGTTGCCGCGGCCACGGCCTCTGCCGCGGCCACCATTGCGGAGAATGGGAGTTGTCTCAATCATTGCCTCAGGCATGTTTACTATTGTTGTTGTATGTAATAGTATGGTGCTTGGTTGGTTGGTTGGTTGGTATTGTGGTACGTTCGAAAAATTGCTCGAAATCCGTGCCTCGGGGCGAAGATACGTATTATCTTAAAACCAAGGTGTTCAGTCGTGTTTCGGTGGAATTCCGTGGAACGATCCAGATCGTTCCGAGTGACGTACGTAGAGGTGCGTTCGAGTGACGTACGTGGAGGTGCGTTCGCGCGATTGGATTTGATTCGGTTGATTCGAAAAGGAGCGAAGAGTATCCAGAGCAGGTGTGCTACCTTGGCGTATCTTTTTCCTTTGGCTCGCTCCGTACCTCTTCTTCGATCGTTCGATCGTTCGAAGATGTTGATGCTTTTGTTGTTGTTTGGGGGTTCGAAGGGGAACCAACTGGAGATACCCTTGATATAATGAGTACTCTTGAGTCAGGTTCAGACCTTCAAAGTGGTTGCGCCTTCGTTGGTGTTTTCGAAGGGGCTGAAATGGCGTTTTGGTGGTTCTGGGACGACAGATCCTTTCTCGACACGAGAATGTGTGTGTAGGTGTGTGTACGTTGAGTGCTGTGTGAGATGTGTGATGTTGTGTGAGATGTGTGTAGACACTACTAGGAGTTAATCTACGACGAATCTACCATTGGATGTTTATCCATGGGGTATACCGTTGCTTGCTGATTTCCAAATTCTGAGCTTAGGAATTTCGCTGTTTGCTTCATCAGTGGAGCAAGCTGGGGATGGCAAAAGATACAAGCCGGGTAGGCTGTGAGAAAAGCAAGGGTACCCTGTTTGTGGTGATTTTGAAATAGACACATAGAGCCGGTACGGTATAGACCGAAACCAAGCTAAACTAAACCGTAAATCCAATACCTCGATGGGCTGGATGTGTGTGTGTGGGTGTGTGTGTGTGGGTGTGTGTGTGTGGGTGTGTGTCGCGTACATATGGTGCTGTTGCCCTTGGAAGGTTAAGGCTACCGGTAGTGTCGCGTACATAAGGTGCAGTTTCCCTTGCAAGGTTAAGGCTACCTGTGGCGGTCAAACCAGAACCCTTCCGTCTTCCGTTCCTTGGCCTTTAGAAAAATGCAAGTTGAGGGCACTAGCCTCCGGCTGGCTGTCCTTTTCCTCGATGTCCATTGTTTTCATTTTGCCTGGATCTCATGTGCGAGTACCCACCTATCGGCAAGAGAAAACCTTTAATATTCCTTCACAGCTAAGCGTCACTCCCTCATTGGATTCAGTAATTGAAACCGTCAGGAGCGGCGCAACTCTTCTTTTTAAAATTTATCCCTTCGAACCACACAAAAAAGGGCCAGATTGTTCTGCTTACCTTTCTCTTTTCTGGGTGAAGAACAGTGCTTTTCAAGTTCATCATTTGAAGGACGGGCAGATATATCCATACAATCTACTCGTTGGGTCTATCTAGCTACCGGTACGTACCGTAGCTGGAGGCTGGAGGAGAGGGCTCGGGCAATTCTCAGGCCTGAAAACAACAAAAGGGAACAACAAAAGGGACCTTCGGGAGACTATCGTCATTGGAGGCAGCATTTTCTGTAAAAAACTGTATTGTCTCTGAGTGCCAGACGATATCGCTCTGAGTCCTGCAAGCGTGACGACTGTTTCGATCATCATGTTCTCAGAAACGTGGACGGCTGATAGGCTCTCCAGGGCTTCCAACCAAGATCTTGGGTCTCCACAGGAGATAGAGCAACGATTTCTGCAACATTTGAACGCTTCAGAAAGCTGCAAGACATCCCTCAGGGTTCTCCTCACGAGCTCATCCAACACAACTCGTGACTTCTCGCTAGAGGTGGACGCCTTTGATTTGCTCGAGGCAGACCCTTGCTTAGGACATTTGCTTCTGAAATACCCACAGCTCATGATTGGCCATCTGGAAAGAGCCATTGTGACAGCCCAGCAGCAACTCTCTGCGCAGCTTGAGGCAGAAGCACGGCAAAATGGGATCGAATTCGCGGGAAAGGTCAAGGGATTGAGGACGAGCCGAGTGCATGCACGCCTCGTCCATCTCCCTCCGACATGTTGCAAAATGTCACTTGCAGCGCTACAGGCATCGGATGTCGGCCACATTGTTCAAGTTTCAGGAACTGTGGTGCGGGCCACACCTGTTTTCATGTACGAGAGTACGCGGACCTTTAAATGCACCGGCAAGACCGGGTGTGGACAAGAATTCACGGTCTATGCCGATCTAGAACAACGCCACAATGCACTGGCGGCTCCAGAGCGTTGCATGGCTAGCAGTGGATGCAAGGGACATAACTTCCAAACTGTAGCGGAAAACACTGTTCACACAGACTACCAAGAAGCCACAATTCAGGAGGCCGCTTCTCAGTTGGGGGGAGGATCACATGTGCCCAAATCTCTCCTGATCAAGCTTCAACATGATCTTGTTGACCGCTGCCAGCCAGGTGATGAGGTTGTCATTGTAGGGCTTCTCTTGCCGCAATGGCAGCCTTCCATCATGCCAAACATGGAATGCGCCGTTGCAATGGCCCTGCGGGCTCATTCGATCCGTGTCGTGCGTGACAATGGCGCCTCTGCGTGGTCTCGGGGGGCTCTTGATGATGGAAATCAGCTAGGAGAGGACATCCAAGAAGACAAGTTTCGTGGAGAATTCAAAAATTTCTGGGAGCATTTCAAGGATGCGCCAATCGCTGCCCGAGATCACATATGCAAGGCAGTTTGTCCCAAGCTCTACGGCATGGCGGTCGTCAAATTGGCGCTCCTTCTAACGCTCATTGGGGGAGTATGTGAAGCAGACGACAATAGCGAGGAACCTACAGGGGTGACCGATGATTCTAACCCAGCTGAGCAACATTTTGAACCGGAGCAATTCGAGATATTCCGAGACAGCTCTGGTACAAATGCATCGACTTTTTATGGAGAAACTCGTCCGCCGGGGATGCGGAACTCTGAAAACAGGAGCGGGGAAACCGTACGAACTCGACGACGGGGACAGAGTCATCTTTTGCTGGTGGGGGGTAAGTGCACCTTCGGTTTTGTTCTCGTCCACTGCCCATCATGATCTCGAGAGGCACACCGGCCATTACTAGCTTGGTCTCAAACCTCTGTTGCTCTGCCTGAAAAGACCCGGGAACGGGAAAAAGCCAGTTTCTGTTGTTTGCCGCAGCGTTGTGCCCGCGAAGTGTCAAGACGACTGGTGTAGGAACCACTTCTGCTGGTTTAACGTGTGCTGCCGTCAGAGAGAGCGGCAAGGAGTTTTCTTTGGAGGCTGGGGCGTTGGTGCTAGCTGACGGAGGCGTGTGCTGGTGAGTTCTTTGGTGCCGCCTTTTCAGCTATCGTCTGCGTTCTCACGCATTCCCCATCAACATTTTCCAGTATCGACGAGTTTGGTTGTATTCAAGACCAAGATAGAACCACAATCCACGAGGCAATGGAACAGCAGACCCTCTCAGTGGCGAAGGCCGGCATTGTTTGCAAGCTCAATTGCCGAGCATCTATCGTAGCTGTCATGAACCCCAAAGATTGCATGTACGACCATCAGGCCGGCTTGTCCCGTAACACGGGACTCGGCACTCCCTTGCTAAGCCGATTTGACGTGGTTTTTACTTTGCTAGATTCAACTGATGCCGAGAGGGATAGCAAAGTTACGACAACTCTTTTGAACCGGGCTATCCAGGGGGGTGAGACTGGGAACTCTGCAGGCGACGACACCGCTACCGCCGAGAAGATGTGGACTGTCGAGAAACTACGAGCCTATGTGTCTTTGGTGAGGGAACAGTTTCGTCCCACCATGAGTGATGAAGCAGCCATTCTCTTAGAATTGCACTACGAAAAATCCAGATCATCGCAGAACACTACAATGCCCGTCACAGTCCGCTTCCTTGAATCTTTGATCCGCTTGGCCCAAGCTCGTAAGTTGGATTGATCTCAGAGAGCTGACTTCCCTTGTGGTGCCGGCGCCATTGTTCTCAAGATTCCTTAATCCTTTTGTTGTTGACAGATGCTCGGCTCATGTTTCGCAAAACTGTTGAGCTCGACGACGCAGTTGCGGTCGTTTGCATCGTAGAATGCACAGCTTTCGGCAGGGAAACCTTTGCAGAACACATGGACAGTGGTGATCACTTGTATCGTGATCCCATGAACGTGGTATTCTCCGATACACCCGATAGCGACTTTCAACAGCTCAAGAGCATCATTCTTCAGCGTTATGGCATTCATGATCCACGTCAAATGTAAATCAATCCACCTTCCTCGATTTAGTGCTGCGTCGTCTTCTCTCGAATGACCACTCAAGACGTAGCTGGCTAGATTGGAGCGGTAACCATACCCTTCATCATGTATTAATAATTCTGCCATGTCCAATGTGCTCGGGTGCTACGAACGGTACAAATAGATGGTAACAGTGTGACAAGAAGAAAGAAAAGAAATGGTTCATCATGTGAGCCTTGATGGCTTTGGCTTCCGAGTACGAAAGCTTTTCATCCGCTATTTTTGAGCCAAGTAGACACAATTTGCCCATTCAAAACCTTCCTCATGGTTCACCTTCACCTACAAACACCCCACAATCTCATGACCAGGCAAGGAGGATGTCAGGGCACGGAGCACACCCAAGCCTTCATTACTTGAAAGGAAGATTAAGTTTAACTTTAACCCCAAGATTACCCCATCTTTCTCATTGCATGTAGCTGCACATGTAGTGTAGACAAATATTACCTAGCCTCCCTTACTTCCTCGTGACGGAAAAAGATCCGGTGCTTTCACTTGCCTGGTGTTTACTTCCACCGAAACAACACAGTTTCCCGTCCGAAGAAAGCTCATTCGATAGATCTCGACGCATCCACCATGGCCAAGCTTGTCGGAAACCAAGTCGGAATACGAATCATTTACCCCGAAATGCCACCTCCCAAGAAGAGGTATCGGCAGGGCACGCAGGAATTTTTCGATGCAGTTCGAAGAGGAGTCATCGAGATTTCATTGCCCAAATTCCAGAGCGACGACGGCTCGTCTTTCTTTGTCATAGACTCACCGGCAGGGAGATCTACAGTCGTCAAAGATGCGCTTTCGATGGAGACTACTAGCAGTATTAGTGAGCACAGTTCCGACGTCGGATTCTCCAAGGACACTCAGCATGGCAAGAACAAAAATGGACCGGAGTTTGGAGCGGAAGTAGAAATCCTTCCACCGAGGCCACGCGAAGAAGCAGACGACGAGGCTGGTCCCGACGGCGCGCCTCGACGCGAAGATCCCTTGTCTATTGTCTCTCCAGAATGTAGCAGCAGGAGCGGTTCGGGCGACGACACTCTGGAAGAAGCATCAGCGAATGATTCGACTTGCCGTGATCCTTCGCAACCCTCCCAACAGCCCGATCCCACTCTACCTCGGTTCAATGACATAATTGGCCACGACGCCGCAAAGCTGCGCATTGAAGAAGTGCTGTTACCACTTGCCCTCCCTCCTGCAGTAGCAAATTCGATTCTCGCTGGTGCGTGTCTTTGCTGGTGCCGGCCTGGTTTGATTCGTAGCCTCGCACTATTCACTGTCTCTCACTGTTTCTTCCTTGCCTTTTGACCGACTTCTTCGTCGCGAAGGCGTCCGCTCGATGCCAGCTTCGATCCTCTTGTACGGCCCTCCAGGAGTTGGTGAGAGTTGCGAAATTGACCTCTGAAGCAGAGGCAGGGCGACGTGCTCTCGCTGTTGGTGCGTCTAACCGACCGAGTTGTTGCCCTCTTCGCCTGCAGGGAAAACGAAGCTTGCCCGTGCAGTAGCAGGCGAGGCAGAAGCGTCGTTTCTGTCGGTAGGACCCGGTGATATCCTCAGCAAATATGTTGGTGAGAGCGAAGGCGCTGTCAGAGCAATTTTTCGGAGAGGTACGACAAAGCTTTTGTTTTCAGGTGAAAATGAAGTCGTTTTGGTTCAAGGCCAACCGTTCGTCTCTGTTTGCTCTTCCTCTCAATGTACCGGCAGCCAGAGAAGAAGCACAATGCATGGAAAGCAAATGTTCGGTGCTCTTCTTCGATGAAATTGATGCCCTGGGACAAAATCGTGGTGGGGGCGGTGGCCACGAACAAGGTTCCGGTGATTCATCATCGGCTTCGAGAAAGGTACTTGCTGAGCTCCTCCTTCAGCTGAACACAATATCCAACCAAACTCCCTTCGAGCCAGTGGGTGTACAAACGAGAGACGACGACGACGACGAGTCCGAGGATGGCAACTGTTGGGAAGAAATGGAATCTCGTAACCCCTCCTCCAAGCCAGCGCAGCACGTCCGTGTGATTGTTGTAGCGGCAACCAATCGTCCTGACGACTGTGATCCTGCCCTTCTTCGTCGCTTTGGGATCCGCGTCCACATGGGACTCCCGAAAATATCTGATCGGCGACGCATATTGAAGCGGCTCTTGAAGAAGGTTGAGCACACAATAACAAAGGCCGAACTGAACGATATCGCGCGCACACTGAACGGGTGGTCGGGGTCGGCACTAGAGAGTCTTGCAAGAGAAGCCACCATGGCCCCGGTGCGGGAGTGCATTCAGGCAGCAGCGAGGAAGAAGAGATCCGTCAGAAGGTCTCGAGATCAGCGCTTTACCACAAAGATGGGTGCTGATCTCAACCAGCAAGCGAGGGATTGTTTGCTGGTTGGTCTGCAAAGCATGCGCCCTGTTGCCCTCTCTGACTTCGACGCGGCTATTGCCTTCACAAGTGGCAGCGAGGACTCCAGCAAAGACAACGATCCCAACGACAAGGGCGATCATTACGACAGTTCCAGTAGCAGCTCAGACGAAGACGACGATCAAAAATGAGACTTGTAGCGTGTTGGAAATCACCTTACTAAACCGCTTCGAAACTTAGAATCAGAACTAGAATAACCTAATGAGTTTTTGAAAGCTTGGACAAAATCACTACATCATTCCTGGCATGCCTCCCGGCATTCCCCCCATGGGAGGACCACCTCCTCCTTCGACCGGTTTGTCAACAATCATCGCCTCGGAAGTTGTAAGAAGGCCAGCCACGGATGCAGCATCGACAATTCCAGTACGGGTAACCTTTGTTGGGTCAATAATTCCAACCTCAAACATATCACAGTAGAGTCCGTTTTGAGCATCGTAACCTCGTTCAACTGGTACATCAGCCTTCGTCAGCTCTCCACACACCACTGCACCCTCTTCTCCAGCATTATTGACAATTGTCGACAAGGGGGCGCGAAGCGCACGCTGGATGATCTGAACACCAATGCGCTGGTCCATGTTGATGGCTTCATTTTGTGCAACATCATCCAAAAGCGTAGAGCAGTATAGAAGGGCCTTTCCTCCACCGGGAACAATACCTTCCTCAACAGCAGCTCGGGTGGCATTCAAAGCATCGACGACACGGTCCTTCTTTTCCTGTACTTCGATTTCGGACGCTCCTCCAACCTGAACAACAGCAACCCCGCCCGACAACTTGGCAAGACGCTCCTGAAGCTTTTCTCGCTCATAGTCAGACTTGGTAGTCTCGATGGAGTTTCTGATAAGATCGCATCGTTCTGTGATTGCTGACGTTTCGCCTGCACCATCAAGGACAACAGTGTCATTCTTGGTGATGGTGACTTTCTTGCATTTGCCCAGATGTTCAGGGGTAGTTTCCTCCAACTTCATCCCCATTTCCTCAGAAATGACAGTTCCTCCGGTGAGAATGGCAAGGTCTTGCATGGTGGCCTTGCGGTTGTCACCAAAACCTGGAGCTTTTACGGCGCAAACCTTGATGCCGGCACGAAGTTTGTTGACAACAAGGGTAGCGAGGGCTTCGCTTTCGACATCTTCGGCCACGATAAGCAAGGATGCTTGGCTCTTAATGATACTTTCCAAAAGTGGGACAAGTTGCTGAAGGTTGCTCACTTTCTTCTCGACCAAAAGAATGTGGGGATTTTCAAGTTCGCAGGTCTGAGTCTTTGCATCTGTGATGAAATAGGGACTGATATATCCACGTTCAAATTTCATTCCCTCTACAACCTCAAGCACGTTTTCCAAAGTCTTTCCTTCTTGAACCGTAATAACGCCTTCCTTTCCTACTCGTTCCATGGCGTCCGAGATAAGGTCTCCAATTTCTTTGTCCGAGTTAGCAGAAATGGTTCCTACCTGGGAAATCTCTTCTTTCGAAGTGATTGGCCTACTGATGTCATCCAAATTTTTGACGACCGAGTTCACGGCAAGCTGGATACCACGTCGGAGATCCAAAGGATTGAGACCAGCAGCAACGGCCTTGCACCCTTCGGAATAAATGGCACGGGCAAGCACGGTAGCTGTAGTGGTACCATCACCGGCAATATCATTTGTCTTCGATGCTACACTCTTAATCAATTGTGCCCCCATATCCTCGAAGTTATCTTCAAAATCGATGCTCTTGGCGACTGTCACACCATCCTTGGTGATTTTTGGAGCGCCATAGGGTTGTTGGATAATTGCGTTGCGACCTTTGGGACCAAGAGTGACCTGGGCGGAAGTGGTGGGACACCGAGTGGCAAAACAATTGTTACATCAAAACTTCCAATCATCAAAGATCTCTCCTCGAATATCAAAACCTTACCTGAACAGCATCGGCCAGCATATCCACACCCCTTAGCATGGCTGCTCGTCCATCCACACCGAATTTAATTTCCTTGGCCATGAAGCGCACAGAACCAATGGAACCATTGGGCTTGGCCATGGACTTGGAGGCAAGAGCCCCTGATTTTTGGAGAGCCGATCGCATCATGTTGCAGCAAGAATGAATCGTATCTGATGGAACTAAAGCTTAATTGGTAATAGCTAGCGGTGGCAAGGCTCTAGTCGTCGATTTTGTGATGGAAGAAAATGAAAGAAGATCTTTCGTTTGGTTGGTGGCGGCTGGGAACTCCAAGCGAGAAAGCTAATCGACGGCCACGATTGATCTTGGCGCAACTACAAAAGAAGCGGAAAGAAACCAAAAGAATTTTGGTTGGGGCGCGAGTTGAGAACCCCATCATCGTCAGGTGGTTGGAGACCATCCAATTTCCAAGCAGCTCTGCAGAGAAAGGACCAGAGAAAGGGTAGGCTAAGTGCTTGAAAATCCACTTAGGCTACTAGTAAGTAAAACACTTGGGCTAAGCAATACACTTAGGCTAAGCCATACTAAGCAACTCACTTAGGCTAAGTGAAACACTTAGGCTAAGTGATGCTCTCCGAGGCATCTCCTCAACAGCACACGTCTCAAGTCTCCTCAACAGCACAACACAACAAGTCCCTGCAGCAAGCACACACACAGCCACAAGGAGACACAACTATCACCCATCATGCCCCCACTTTCAGCTTCCTGTGAACTGCTCAAAGAGCTTCACAAGAAAGAGTTTAATTGAGTTACAACAGAGATTCAGATTCAGGTTGCAACTTCCCTGGAGGATGACACCACTCATACTATTAATCTGGCTTCCACCCTTGGCTATGGTGTGAATAATCCAAAAAACCCAGATGACAGCACAGTCTATTGGCTGCCCAAAGAATTCAACCAAGAACAATCAATAACCATTGGAAAGAAGTCATTTTGGAAATCAGTATTGTCGTGATATTCCTGGTTGAACAAGCGACCGTAATGTGTGGAAGAGTCCACTGTCATAGGGATCAGAATCAAAATGCATAGACCTTTAGATGCGGTGATATTTTCCTGTTTCCGCTTTCTGTCATGCTGTTTTGTGTGCTCACGTTGATTCTCTTTCTTCTTTTCTCCGGAGTCAACAACTGCTCCAATGACAAGGTCAAGCTCAGACCCAAGCTCAGACCCCATCAAACCATCCTCGTCAACACTATTGTTGGTGTTGGTAGCGTTGGTATTGTTGGATGCACCATTGGCCTGTCCTTGTAAGAGTGGAAGCTCATGGTCGTGATTAGTTTCCATCCTTTGTCTCAGAGGCAGAGTTTTCCCAGTGCCTTTGAAAAAATGAAATCTGACAGATTATGAGCTTTGGGTAGCTGCCACGGAGAGAATCACTTAGCCTAAGTGATTCACTTAGCCTAAGTGGATCAAATGTGACTGACTAAATCAAATAAGACCGACTGGATCACTTTGGCTAAGTGGCTCACTTAGCCTAAGTAAATCAAATTGAATCATTTAGCCTAAGTGAAAATTCAACCACTTAGCCTAAGTGAAAATTTGTGAGGGACAAATCACCCTACCCATTGTACTGTACATGAGACCTTCCAATCGGATACCTGGTATACCAGGTACCAGTATGTTACCTATGATAGCTAGAACAGGGTGGCAAGTAGCTAAAAGTAGTTGACCAAGACCGAGCAGCCAACAAGTGAGCTGACATTCCAAGGATTCAATTTTCCTTGAGATACCGAAGCGAGATATATAAGCATAGTCATCGAATTCTGAGCTAAAACGAATGGGGAAAGCTCTATGGTCAGCATTCCAAGCGGATGGACCAAGCAAGATAGAATTGATCTCAATCACCGCCCTGCCTGGACTGGTACATGTACGTCCTGTTGATGACATGGACATTACATGCTCATAGTCTGTAAAGCTGTCTGTAACCAGTCTGGGTTTACGAGATCGCGCGTTGAATGCAATGAAACGACTAGCGACTACTAGCTAGCCAGAGGAGGAATTGTTCTGATAGCACCACAGCACTACCGGTAGCTACTATGCATCAAATCAAATCTCATGAAAAGGTACCGTAGCGGCATGGTTTAACATCAGGCAGCCTCTTTTGAACCGTGCAATTAATCGATTAGACACCTCGCAATGGATTGTTGTCAGTGATACGAGCTGCGCTCTGATAGGGGCTCCTTGGCAATCGAACGGGGGTTCGAACCAAGGACGTTGGCGAACTGTCGTCGGCTACCAGGCGATATACAACTTGCATCCATTCTTGGAAGCGCAGATGGGATGAGAATTCCAAAGACAGGCGGTCTCGCCCACGGTGAGTGTAGTACTCGAACCAAAACCACAACACCTCTCGGAAATTTCTCATCACATCTGTCCGATCGCCAATCTGATGGCTGTTGGTAATTGAGTCTCGTCGAGAAAGCGTCAACGAAGCTCTCCTTGCATAGGATGGTGTGTCTTCATCCAGGTCCAAGTATCGCATCGCGTTCACGAATGCACGGTCAATCAAATCGTCTCCGTTCGAGGTAGGATCGATTGCGCGGCGCTTGGACTCTTTCTCTTCGGCGTTCATCTGGCTCAACTCCGTGAGAAGGGCTGCTAGTTGGTGACGACGGTGAGCAAAGATGGCAATGACAACCGCAGTATTCAAACAGCAAATGTTTTCGTGGTTGATGTTGCGAAGATCGACAACACCGAGCAAGTCCCGCAAAAGACGAGCTTGATTAGCTGCCAGAAACCACGAAAGTCGTTCGGTAGTATTTGGCTCGAAGGTTGCCGCGGAAAGATTCTCGCCAACAGGCGAAAACACCCAACCAAAGTGTCCAACGCTTTCGTTCAAGCCGGACATGGAGGAGATAAACTCCAAATCATTCCAAGTGTGCATCCCCTGAGCTTCCACGACCTCGCTCGTTGGGAACCAATCAGATGGCCGATCTAGATCGTTTGTCTCGTCCTCGTCGTTGTCAATGTCGAAGTTGCCCTCGCTTTCTAGTGCGACACCCATTGTGTCCCACCAAGAGTGCGTCAAGTAATATCGACTGGATGGCCCAATGGGGCTTCTCCAACTGCTCCCTCGGCCCATGCCAGAATCAAAGTGTAGCGCAACCTGCCTGTTGGCGGCAGACAGCCGTTCCAATGTTAGCCACAGCGATCGAATAAAGACGTTGGAGTCAACAAGGTTCGCTGCTGCAACGCTCATGAACTTTCGGAAGCTCTCCTCGTCAAGGTCAGACACGAGAAGATTCAAGACCTCGTTGTTCCCCTTGCAGAGTTCACCCAGCAGATCAAACGATGTTTGAAGACTACCTGCACAATGCAATCTTTCGCTTGTAATGTCTTCAACCAAGTGCATTAAAAGTCCAGATCTCGCCACGAACACTTGTTCGCCCGGAGATGATCCTCGCAAATAAGATTCTATGCAACTTGCTAGCCAGAATCGATAAGGCGACTCATCTGACTCTCGCGCAAAAGCTTCGACAATCTTGGACAACAAGCCCTGCTCGACAGGGAAGCTGTTGTAATCGTTGCCACCCTTCTTTCGGAAAATTAACTCTCGTTCCGATGGACTCAAAAGGCTGTGCCGACCAGGGTAATTGTCGCAGTCGCGATCGCAAAAGTTATGCAACAACCGCAAATACTGCACGCATAGAGCAGACTCGGGGGTGCATTCACATCCTGGACCGTGAATGCCATTTGGTTGCTGCTCTTCTTCGCCATCGGGAGGGTCATTTCCATTTCCAGATCCTCCTTGGCGGCTGTTGCCATTGGCATTGCCGTTATTGTTTGAGCTATCAGCGGCGGCCTCCTCTCGTTGAGATGAGTACCACGGAAGTCGCTGGAACATGTCATCGAGTATGGGTATCACGTTGCAGACATCAAGCTTCTTCTGGGCATCCATCTTCCTCCTTCCACCAAGCAATGTACACAAGACGAAGAGCACCTCGACTTGATAAGGGCCCAGCAACAGCGCATTAAATTGAAGGGCGTTGGCAGCATCCTTGGGTGCACATATCTGAGCTTCAGAGAAGAACGACCCGCTGTCCCTGCCTTGAGGCCCATCCAAACTACCAATACCAAAGACACGAGGTCCTTCGCTCCCGCCAACGTCGTCGGAGTCCTCGCTTTCACCGGCGTACAAGCGTCGGACTAGGACTTGATCCGTCAATACGCCAGCGGCCGAAGCAAGTCCCCTAATGGTAGTTCCATCTACAGCAACGCTGCCCATGTCGAGCGGTGGATTGCTATTGTCCTCGCCACCATTATCCGGGGCGTTTCCATTTGAATTCCCTCCTTGAGGCATCCATTCGGGATCCTCCAGACCTGATGCGGAAGGTCGGTGTCTCGCAACGTTGAGGTTGTCGTTTCCAGGTCTTCCCACGACCACACCTGCTTGTTGAGCAGCGCTAATCACGTGGATAATGTGCCCAAGCTGGTTCGTAACGGGAGCATTGCTGCGAAGTAGCGTATTGGACAGGTTTTCCAGCATGTCGGCAACAGTGCCCAATTCACTTACAATACGTTTGGGCTTGCTATCTTGACCTCCATTTTCGCTTGTGCCCGTGTTCAGCAGTTTTCGGGACAAAGATTCCAGTCGATCGATTTCTTCCCAGCTATCGATTTCGCTCAACCCCAACATGACTAAGGTATCGGCAATGAATGGAAAGTGTGCCATGACATGGTAGGGCGAGCTTCGTCGTACCGAAGGGGCGTAGTTCATCACCCTGAGCAACTTCAACATACGACTTGACAAGTCAGGATCACCTAACAAAATGGCTTGATTCATATCAACTGTTGAATCGCGGCCTGCCCTTACAGCTCGGTTGCGCCTCAACTGGAGTAATTCCAGCGATTTCAGGACCGCTGGGCTCTCCAGAAGCTGTCGATCCTCAGGTTCAAAGACTAGCAGCGCCAAAATCCTGCAGAAATGAGCAAGCTGCCTGCAGTTGAATCCTCCCCATAGCTCGTAGAGTTCGGGAACATTTCCCAAGAAGAACGTAGTGACGGGCGCAACTCTGCCCAACGGCGGAATGGTTGGTCCTTCGTCCCCAGATGCTCCATCGTTATCCTCCGCGGCCGCCTGTGCTTGTGGTGAGTGCGACATGAGACTGAGGATTTCTTCGATTAGGGCAGCTGCTCCATCAAAGCACGAATCATGCGCTAGTAGGGTAAATAGAAATGGCAAAAAGTCGCCGTTCTCGAGGACTGTACCATTTTCCACAAGTGCGGGAATAGCAAAGATGAGTTCTCGTAAGGACGCCAGTGCCTCATTCCAGCAAGGAGCCAATCTGGTGGCAACCAATCCCTTGCTCAAATCACGTGCGTCAAAGGATTTTGCCATTTCTTGTCCAACAAATGTTTTTTCTCTGAAAATGCGAATCATAGCTTCGACTCCACCCGCTTGAACAAACGCATCTCTTTCTAGCCCGACACGGCCTCCGCCAGCATAGAAAGGTGACGCGGAAGGCGGAAGATTTGGATCGTCAATTACGGCTTGCCTTCCTTCCGGTCCCTGCGGCATGGCGGCGGATGGATCACCGATTAGACGTGGTGCCAATCTAGAAATGATCATTTGTGTTTCTGCCCAGTCACCAGCCTCAATGGAAGCCACCAAGAATCCAACTTCAGTTGAAATTCCAGCTGCGGGTTTGTCGAGTGCCCCATAGAGCGTGTCTCCTCCCATGGCTCTCAAAGCCTGTGCCGCTGGAACAAGGTTTGGGAAGGGAGTTGTAGACCGTCCAGTCATTTCTCTGGCCAATAGATTGAATACGACATTGGGTCCAGCCTGAGCCCTTTGTTCCGCCTCTGGTTCGTTTCCATGCTGTCCCGTGGCACCTGGTCCTCCACTGCAGGCCATACTGCTTCGTCTTCGATAGGAAGGAGCATGAGCGTTGGAAGATCGTCTTCGGTCAACAGACCGGTCCACGTCCATGGGTTGCATGGGACGGCGCCGATTGTAGTAATTAGCCATGGTTCCACCGTGCATGGGTCCTCCTTGCCCTCCCGTGGTGAGGGACAGACTTCCTCTTCGAGTGCCAGCGAAACTTCCGCCAGCACTGGATCGTCTATGTGAGAAGTCTCCTCCAAAGGTGGATGCCGTGGAACGTCTCCTGAAAGCAGCGTACGCGGAAGAAGCATCGTCCGACGCATCGTCGTCTTCAATCAAGGATAGCAATGAAGTCTTTGCCAAATGTCCAAACACGAGAGCTTCAATGGAGCGTCCCATCCACTCATGGTGTCTACTGACAGGAGGGAAGAATTCGTACATTTCTTCATCATCGTAATCACTGATGGAAGAACCGGAATTGTCGGTACAAGTACTGGAACGGCGGAGACCACTTCCACCTCCCATTGAGCCATATCCCAGTCCACCACTGGAGTTTCCTCCACCAAAACCTCGTTTGTTGCTGTAACCAAGATTTTCGGTGTCATCTTCGTACATGTCGACCATTTCCTCTTCGTCGTCACAGTCACAATCCGCATTCTCGGCCAACAAAAGAGGGGGTAACATTCCATCTGCGGAAGCATCGTCTTCGTAGTCATCATATCCTTCATCATCGTCATCCTCATCGTCGTCATCATCGTGGTGATTGTGATTGTGTCCTCCATTCCGAGCAGCATCCTGCGCATCGGCGTCCACAGCATCAATGGCGGGAGGAGGATTGTCCATTCCGAACGAGTCATTCAGCTGCGTCGCGCTACCGCCATTCTCATCGTCTTCATAGTCATCATCGTCAACTCCTTCCATGTCCGCTTCGGTAAACGAAGCAAGGCTAGGATGAAGATCCTCTTCCATCTTGATTAATTAATAACAGTGGCTACAGTATGGAACAGGGGCTGGGGTGGTGACAGTAACAGCAGCAACTTTTTGCGATTGTTATTTAGGTGTGGAGTGCGGAAGTGGGAGCACTTCGTTTTGAGAAAGTTGTTTGCTGAAGGGATCCGAACACTTAGCCTTAACGCTAATGTAACGATGTCGCGAAAAATGACACAAAACCTTGATCTTCCCTTCTTGCGGTGATGCCAGCCAATTTGCACTCCTTCTTCTTTCTTGTGTCTTTCTTTCCTTTCTAATAATAGCTCCAAGTACTACATGTAGTAGTGAGGACAGAGAACAGGATGAGATTCAAGGCCAAGCTCGCTCCCGAACAAGTATCTCTGCTTTCTTCACTGGTGGGCTCCATGAGGCGCTTGTATGAAGGATCGTCATCGGAATCCAACAAAGTTGCATCCGGCCAAGGCTATCTCACGGGAGGGTCCATTCTCAAAGTGGATTCCAAAAAGGTTCTAATTTCAACATCTGGAAAAGGTGACGCCGATGGAGTGGCATTCTATTGTGAATTGACCACTCGGGATGGAATCTTTCTAGAACATCGAATCGATTCAGCGGCACCCGACAATGCCATTGCCATGGAAATTGGACTGGGGGAATTCCGGGTGGCGCTAAGATCCATTGTCGCCAATCTCGAAACTAACAATGGGTTTCATGCGTCAGGGGAAGACGCTATGAAAATTTCTACCAACAATGGACGCCATACCACAACTGTCCTTAAATTGGCCAAACGAGAGGGCGTGCCCTGTCTATGCGTCGAGACTCTCACTCGTGATGGAGTCGTCACACTGTCACATGCCATTCCAGTCAGAGTCATGCGAGTGGATGAAGTAGACATGTAAGCAAAACCAAACAGACAGAAAAACCATCTACTTACTGGTTTGGATCAGAGCTCATACTGTGTTCATACTTCCTCTTGCTTGCTTGCTTGCTTGCTTGCTTCATACCGTATTATTGTATCAAACACAACAACGATAATGGCAGTGCTCCGCCTTACGTCAGTGTCGAAGATTTCCACTCAGGAGTACCAATCGGTGTGGACCGAAATCTGAGATTCATACTAGAAAGGCTCCAAGGAGATTGTCCCCATGGTGAGTGGAAGAAAACAAATGGGGGCACTTACTTGTGTGTGGACGTGTTTTGCTTGTTGATTGGCTGGCTGGTCCCTCTCCATAGCTTGCTTGCTAATTACTTACGCCCATGCCATCATCCAAACTTGCCCATGACTAGTTTGTCTAGAGACATCTGCTGCAGGGGAACTGACATTGAAATCGGATGGGGACGGCAGCTGCTCCGTGCGCACATTCTTTGGAAAAACAAAATCACGACATGGCAACTCGGGAGGCAGTCGGGAACCCTGCAAAATCAAGGTCGATACCAAAATACTCGTCAGTTGTTTGCAGTGGCAACAGTCTGGGATAGTATCACACGTCTCCAGTGCGCTGCTATGCTTTGCAGAGGATGAAATGCTAGTGGTTCATGTGGCTCTCAGTCCTTCCAGTTTGGGATTCTTCACTTACAGCTTGCCCATTCATTTCCTCTCGGATGAAGACTTGTAAAATCTCTACTAGACAACTATAGCTAACCAGATGGATACGGTAGATACCCCCATACCGTATTTTACTTTTAATTCTGCAAGCAAAAGGATATACAAAAACCCAAACGCACAAGAAGGTGGTTGAAAGTTTGGAGTGTCTCATCACTCACTTGGTCCCACCCGGTACGATGTACGACTGTATGGTACCATAGTACCGGTACCGGTACTAGTAGCCAGCTATTAATAGTATTGCTGGCTTTTATCTTAGAGTAATTAAGACGACCTTTCTTTGATAAGCCTTTGAGTCAGTGCTGACGCGGGGTATTTAATAGTCTTTCTCATTTTCTCAACAAGACTCCCTGTTGATTTTCAAAGAAGCAAAATTCGTCGGATGGAAGGAGGACCCATGCCATTGCCAGAGATCAAGAGGTAGGCGGAGGATACCCCTTAGAGTCACTGTCAATGATCAAAGATCGCATACCCATCCTGTCTTTAGGAGGCTCCTTCCATTGATACTTGCCGTTTTGACTTGGGTCACTGTGCTTGGTCGATACATAACCACCTGAGGTATCAAGTACTCGTATCATTTTTGTTGGTCAAAGCCCTCTACTACCTGTTTGAGTCAAGAACTTTAGGAGGCTCCTTCCCTTGATATTTGCCATTTTGAAGAAGATAAGCCGTCATAGAAAGCATGCCAAAGCATCTATACGAAGACGAGGCTTTGGCCCAGGAGGTGTATCAGGAGCAAAATGATACTCGTTACGCGAAACAGGTGGAACAAGAGCTAGAAGATGAAGAACTAGCGCGACAACTAGCCCGAGCAGAGGAAAGGGCCCTAGCCGCAGAGGAACGTGCTCGAGGACGACCTCCTGCTCGTCCGTGGACCCTGCGACGAGTCCTCTCCTACGTAGTTCCGTTGATTATTGTGGTTGTGGGCACTATTGCATTGGTGTATGCCATGAAAGCGGATGACACCGAAGTGCCGCCTTCACCCACGCTTGGCATTCCCTTTTTTGAAGACCAAGATCCATGGGAGGGACTAACGCCCAACGAGGTAGTTCGGTGGAACAATGGCGGATCAGGAGGTCTAAAGTTGGATGTGGTAGACGCGTTGGATGGAAAATGGGAGGATATATTTCACGCAGTTGTCAAGGACTATGATGAAGGAGCTCCTAGAGCCCTGGCTCTGTCCACCGAAAAGCAGGGACACGATCCTGAATGCGAGCCAATCGACAATAAATCAAAAGTCTGCAACGGAAACTACGGGGATACCCAGTGGCGAGGGATCAATCAGGTCTTGATCCAGAATGGCTTCATTGTGGCAGCAACATCCAAAATGAACGAGTTTTATCTGGCAAAGGCAACAAACCCACAGAAGAGGTACACCATGTGCCACGAGATGGGCCACTCCTTTGGTCTCCCACATACTGACGAAGACTTCTTCAACGAAGACCTGGGAAACTGTATGGATTACACGAGCAATCCAGCTGCAAACGTTAGCCCCGATCACTCAAATTTCGTGTTTCTAAAGGATCTGTACGGAACGACACCAGGCACCGCCAGAGCTTTGAAACAGTCAGATTCTCCATCACGTGTGTCGCAGATTCTCAATCACAGGCGAATCCCCGACGACATTAAGGCCCAGCTCAAGGAGATTTCTCTTCAGTTTGAAAACCGTTCCTTCGATGAAAAGCCCCGCACGAGGGCGTGGAGGTTATTGCTGCGGAACGAGGATGCAGAGGCTCACGATGTGGCCCTCGGAAATGGTTGGTCAGTGCGAATGCACAAACTGCTAGCTTCTGACGAAAGCGACTAGTCAATGAATGGCTGCTGGCTTGTCCTTGCTGTTGCCACTTGGCTCCACTCGAGCTGGAACAGAGACAGGATCGAATAGTTGAGAAAGATATCTCTTATTGATATATTATGTGTGTCTACTACACATCATGTCCGTGCCGGTAGCAGTACAAGCACCTTTGCATAGTTTACAACTGTGTTCATACTACACTACCTTTTTTTGTTACGAGAATCTTGGCAGCATTGGATTGATTCCTTGAGTAGCTAGCTAGACTAGCTATTTGATCTGATTCGATTCTCAGAGCTACTATTCTTTTCCTGAACTAGTCTACTCTCAGGAAATCTTGACCCTCGCAGAATCAAATCAAGAAAGCGATGAATTCTTTTACTCATTGATAATGCAAAGGCCAATATTGACAGCAGCTTGTTTTCATCGGTTGCTGTACCTCAAGGCCTCCTCAGCTATCAGAATTATCCGCCTTAGTGCCTCTGCCCCTTCAGCGTAGAAACTATTTGGGCCCACTGGCATGGCAATCTGCAAGGTATTGGAACAGTTTGACATCTCCCCTGGGGCATTCATCATAGTACCCCTTCCAATGGTCGATAGCTGCTTCCTATTGCAAAGCTTGTTTACAGCTTTCAATCGCTTCAAATTCTCTTGTGATTGACACAGCAACTAAGGAATAACAATAATGTGTTAGGACTGCAAGACAACTTATGGGTGGTGCCTCGTTCCCTCAGCAGAAAGCTTACCTTGTTTTCCTTCCTCTTGATGCAGATTTCAAGCAATGACACAGAGAGGCAAAACACTTCCTGCTTGCTCCGGAAAACCTGCACAAGATCGATCATAACCTCAGCAACTTCTGTCGTAGCTATGAAAGGGAGCAAGTCCTTGTGCCGCGACACATTCTTCAAAATTGACAAGAGGTATATCAAGATCTCTTGATGCGGCCTACTCTGGTTGCACGCTCTTATCAGAGACAAAAGGATGGCTGTTGTGTTGCCTTTGACGACAGCAATCGCAGCTCCACGAGACAGACGAGTTGTGGCTTCGAGATTCCGTACAGCTGCCATGATTTCAGAGAGCGAAGTTCGCGTCCCAATTACAGCAAGGGCACTGGCCGTTCGAGCACCAAGCTGCATATTGGGACTATGCTGTGTTTTCAAACGAGCCGCAATACCACAAAGCTGTTTGCGCCTTGCTTTCCGAATCAAGTGCCCTCTCACCAGACTCTGCAATACCACCACCCGTCCAGATATCCACGGAAGCGCCTCCCATGAAATGTTGCTGGTATCAGTGAGGATTCCAGCAGCTCGAGCAAGCGTATCAGGAGCTCTTAAAACGTTTGTTCGTCGTTGACTTGCTATCTCCTTCTTGGCAAGAAAGCCACGCACAACCCGCTGGATTTGTAGTGTGCAGAAGATCACGATTTGGTACATGAAGCTTGCGCTGTGTCCGCGCCAGACTTTTTGGATCAGAATGGCAGCTGTGGTGGATCTGTCAATGCATCCCTGACCAGATCTTGGAAGTACCGGTGCTACCCGAGTGCTGATTGTCGCTGGTTCATCACGACTCCGGAGTTCTTTGCGGATGCTTTGGTGCACTGTCCTCAGGAGCTGGTTCTGTTCAAGCGCAAGACGCCGCACATGATATCCTCGATACAGGGCTTGGAAGGAAACGATGGATTGTAGAGCACTTTGGTATCGGCGTTTGGCAATAGCACGGCGGCAATTGGCTTGCAATGCCATCACACCCAGTAGCGCAATGAAATATTCCACATGAACTGTGTAGCAACGCCAGCACTTTTGGATGATACACGCAGCTCGTTCTCTTTTGTTGTTGCGGTCTCGTCCTTTATTACCATGCTCTGCTACTCGTAGCAATGTTCCCTGGTTTCTGGAAGTTTCCCTTGGGAGGGACCTGAGCGTACTCGAGGAAGAATGCTGACGCACAAGCCATCTTCGAACAATGCATTGACATTGGACAATATTCATCAAGTCCATGTGGTAGTTAATAGAACAGACTAAGCCCCTCCATTGCTTCTGAATGCAAACAGCAGCTTGCTGCACGCGGTAGAATCTCTTCCTTGCCAGCCAAGTTCGAGCAAGGCTTTGGAACCGTACAATGTCAAGTAGGCCCATTTGAAACCCAATGTTGCAGACAAAGCCGCGCCAGTGCCTTTGAATGCAGATTGTAGCCTGTTGCAAACTGTCGAATCTCTTCTTTGCCAGCCATCTTCGAATGTAGCTCTGGCATCGCACAATGTCAAGTAAGTCCATTTGGAAACCAATGCTGTAGACAAAGCCCCGCCAATGTCTTTGAATGCATAATGCAGCCTGGTGCACACGGTAAATTTGTCTGTTTGCCAACCATCTTCGGCCAAAGCTCTGCAATTGTACAACAGCAACCAACTTCTTGTGGGCCAAAATAACAGCCTGCTGATCAAGGGAAAGTCTCTTCTTTACCAACCATCTTCGAACAAGGCTTTGGCATTGAACAATGTCCATCAGGTCCATCTTGAAACCAACATTGCAGGCAAACCCTCTCCAGTGCTTTTGGATGCAAACAGCTGATTTCTCTGCTGCTAGATGGAATTGATTCTCTGCTTGCGACTGTGGGATTGAAATTCCTTTCACGTCCACATCACAGGCAGCATTGTTGCAGTCGAAGCATGTTCCATCCTCAGGTGCTCCTCGGCTTTGAACTGGCTGGAGGTGGACGTTCTCATCGACAGGGTCGGAAACAAAAACCATTGCAATCTCTGGTGAGCTGACGACGAGCTTCTGGTTTGCAAGACAAAGTCTCCTCTTTGCAAGCCAGCTGCGCACAAGGCTCTGGCATAGCACAATATCCATCAAGTCCATGTGGAAGCCAACATTGCAGACGAAGCTTCTCCAATTCTTCTGAATGCAAATGGCAGCTCTCTTTGCCAAACTGAGCCTTGAGGATGCCTGCCATCGGCGTAGATAGCTTTGGCATTTGACCACAGCAAGCAAGTCCGCGCGGTAGGACGCATGTCCGATATAGCCTCTCCAAATCTTTTGGATGCAAAGAGCAGCAGACCAAGCCATCAGGAATCTCCGATTTGAAAGCCATCGACGTGCATAGTATTGACATTTGACAATCGAAATCAAGTCCTTGTTGAACCGAGGCCTGCAGATAGAGCTTCTCCAATGTTTCTGGATGCACACAGAAGCCATCCGCGCTTTGGAAAGCAGGCGTTTTGCCAGCCACATCCGTGCACAGGTTTGCCACGAGACGATGGCCCCAAAAGTTTTCTGATATTGATGGTTGGATAGATGGGCACGCCATTTGCTCTGAATCTTAGTTGCGCTGATATGAAGTTGCTGCATTTGGAGCCTCCTCCGGGATCCTCTGTAGAAAGCCTGCAGACTGACTGCTGCTGTTGTCGACGAGTGAAAGTGCCGTATTGCAACGAATCCTCTCCAGTAACGTTGAATTGTGATCGCACACCCGTTCGTTGATCGATGAGGATCATGGATCATTTCCAACGTATTGTCTAGGTAAAGACGACTCTCTTCTTGTGAAAAGTTGCCAGCCACAATATCGTCATCGATTAGACTCGCCCCAAGACTGATATTCAGCAGAAGCCCTGCAGTTGTTTGAAGCTCTTCAACTTTAAGAATGGGGCTCGCAGCATTGATGATTGGCATTAGCGTTCGTCGTGTTTTGCACCGACGCCAAAAACGTTGCAACGTCAATGCCGAGGTCTTCATTAGTTTGAATGCGTTCACCTGATGAGAAGCACGCCAAGCTTTCTGGATATGAAGAGTTGCAACCTTGGCTCGAATCACAGCCATTTGTATCAAGTGTCCCCGGACGAAAGCCTCCGCCGAAGCAAGAAGGGCGTGGGTTTATTAGCAATGGATCGATTGATCGTATCCATCGTGGCTGATTTGCACGTACCTGAAGCAATGTTACTCTGTTGATAAGGCCTCTCGAAAGACATTGCCCCGCAAACCTTTGCAGCATGCGCACGGCATGTTTTCGTAACTTAGCGTCGTGATCTTCGGACGGGTACAATTGGGTCAACGAGTGAGAATCCTCTTCGAGTGCGGCCCCTGCGTTTTCAGTTTCACCTTTGCGCTTTGGACTCTTCGTCGAACTGATGCATTCTTCGTCAACGTCTTCATCGGCACACCGAGCATCTCTTGCAGATCGCCACAGTTTCTGGATTTTGGCGGCTGCAGACGTTGCGTACATTCTTTTTTGGCGCACTCGAAACATTCGAATTGAAGCCTATTGAAAGGGAGGAAGAGTTAGCATGATATATGCCAATACCGACAGAGTAAGCCAATGGAAAGGCCAAAGAAACTCACCTGACAGAGAATGGCAGATTTGTCGAAGTGCCGGAAGCGATTCCTAACTCTGCGCATTCTTTGAGATCTTCGCGTTGCCAGAAATCTCCGCACTGAACGCTGCAACACTAGTAGTGCTTGGAACTTGGTTTCTTTCGCAGCAACAGCGAGTTTCGACCTGATTATTGTCTGTATCGCAATGATGTCGAGGATCTGGACCTGAAATTGCATCTGGAACCAGAAGGCTCTCCAGATTGATTGGATTCGGATTGCACCTTTTTGTGCCAAGCAAAACTTCTCGCGTGCACCGACCTTTCGTACGAGTTTCTGTATTAATAACGCTGACTTCAGAGTGGCAACAAACTCCTTGCGCTTTGAATATCGCCTCCAAGTGCTTTGAAGTCTGATTGCTGCCGTTTCAGTACGGCGTCTATTCTCCTCCTCGTGGTGGGCTTTCATCTGGACAAACTGCTTGCGCACGTTGGCGGCAATAGCATGACGAGTTTTGAGCAGATGAAAGGAGTTCTGGGCACGAAAGCGTCGGAATTGATTCTGGAAATTTGAAGATATGCATTAGACTCTTCGGCCATAATTAGCAAGACAACAAGCAAGCACATTCTGATCGAAACCTACCTGAATTTTGACTGCGGACTCTTGTCGAATCTCGACTCGAACTCTGGCCTCTTTCATTCGTACGAGGCTGTGTCGTCTACTCCGAACAAGGCTCTCGATAGTTCTCACTGCCCAGCCATACTTCTTTCGTTGATTGTGGAAATATTTTTCTCTGTGTCGTTGCCATGTGGTACCAATGAATCCAGCAGCCTTGAGCCTTTGCACCACCAGACGGCGGCGGCGATGTCGTCTGTAACAGTTTTGGATCAGTTTGCATGCGCGGACCTCATCTTGCGAAGCCAGCAAGCGGGAGCAAGAGTAGCTAAGGTAGGCTACGAGGGACTTTTCGTCTGGTGGGTGTGTTGTATCGGAAGTCGGAGCCATCCCAGGAATGCCTCCTAGCTCCAGCAGACGTCTATGCGCGAGAGTGTTGTTTAGTCTTTCGTTTCTAAGCGCATCGTCCAATGTCAGAGGCTTTTGACCGTCAAAATCCATGGTCGTGGGTCGGATTTCGTCTAAACTGAGCATGTACGGATGATAATGGTGGATCATCAGGCAGAGAGCTTTGCCATCCGCAAACGACGACGAGAAGTCTGATATCGGCAATCTGTATCGAGAGCATACCGCGTGACACCAGCTGAACAGAAGGGTCCTCCCTCGATTTTCGGTTTGATTGTCGCAACTATCCAGGGTGGAAAGAGCCTTCGAAAGGACTGGTCTCTTTGTAGGTTCCTCTCCCAAAAGCTTAACAACTTCATTCTCAACTTGACCGTGGTCAAAGACTGTTCGGGAGCAGAAGTGTGACACAATGATCCGTATCAACTTGAACACGGCACTCCTTTGCCCATCGACAATGTGGTGCGGTGAGACGTCCTCGCAGAGAGTGACCCCAGCATTGCGCCAAGCACTCAGGGCCAGACCTACATTGTGCAATTTCTGAAGTCGTGACACCGCCGGAACTCGGAGCTTCTGCAGCAAGGAATTCTTCCTCGCTCCGGTCAAGATTTCAGCCAGTCTCGCAAGGCGGACTCCGTCGCGCAAGTCCACGGCAAAGTTTGTAATCGAGAACTCTATCTCGTCAATGTTTTGTTGCTTGTAGATCACCTTGAGTCCTAAGCGACGCAAGTGCTTGGTAATGTCCCCTTCTTGGGCCAGGAAATGTCGGCAGAGCTGTTCCAGGACTTGTCGTGACGATTTCACATGAGACGACTTTGAGAAGAGTTTCCTTGTCTTCAAATGACCAGCTTGTGATCCCAGTCTATCAAGAAGGAAAATTAAGGCGAGTACTCTTCGTAGCACGAGCACTCGCAACTCCTTTCGGTATCTTGTTTCAAAGTTGCCAGAAGGCATTTTGCAGCGACCCTTTGTATACTTGTCCAAGGTGGCAGTGTCGGAGAGCACCCTGTTTACAATAAAGGATCGGAGAGCAGCCCCCATCAAGTTTTGTTGCGTGTTCACGCCAGCGCCTTTGTTCGCTGGCGTACTTGCCACCTTGACCACTGCCGAACAGCTTGTAATCAGTTCTGGCTCAATCACAACACCAAACAAAGTTTCCAGTCCGAGCTGTAGCCATGGCATCGAATAGGAGAACAAAAGAGACAGGATCGTTCGCCGTAGTGTCAAGTCAGCGTAGTCACCACACATATCCCGGTCACTCCTAATGGCTAGATTTCCCTTCGCTACCTCGGCATCAATGATGCTAATGATTCCCTGCATGTCTTCGCTCTTTAGAAGTCGGGATGCCGCAGCTCTAGCGCTTGACATATGTTGGTGCAAATAGAGGATCCGCAGAGCGGGCTGATTGAAGTAGTTTCCTGGTTGTTTTTCCACAATACAATTGTCATTTCTGCAGGGAACCAGCTGTGTCTCGCAATCTTCGTTTGGGCAAAGAACGAAGTTGAGCCAGGCAAGGAACTGCTCACACTGCGAATCGGCCCAGTCGTCCTCCTCGACGTGTGCCCGGGCTCGTGTTCGCCGCTTCACCGTGAGAGCCTCATTTGGTATACTTTGTCGATTGGCTGTCCTGGGTTTCGTGGTACTTTGTTCATTGCACAATAGAGACGAAGGATTCATGCAGGCATCATTTCTCTTGCTGCTCATAGGTGTCACAAAGATAGCGCTTGCCGCAGAGTCACTTTTCTTCGCCGTGTGGACAGCGGGCAAAGGCTCAAAAGTCTCCATGGATTGATGTTGCAAAGAAGGAGTTGCATTGATGCGATCAGACTCATGCCCGCTTGATTGTTTAAGACTTGTAGGGATAGCCATAATGTCAGGTTCCAGCAGTGCTGTGTTCATTTTGCTTCCATCAATGGCTGGATCTGGTTTCTGTTCAAAAACAAATCTGGACCTTGCTGCCAAGAGATTCAGAGATTCAACAAAAGTAGACTTGATGATGATTGTTGGCTTTTGATGGCGTCCAATGTTGCTGTCCTTTGTAATGGACAGCCGCTCGTCGGCGAGTCTGAGAAAGGAGGATGTATTTTGGCTTGTGGGAGAAACGAGCAAGCTCTCATCCACGGTCATTTCTAACTGATCCCTGAGGATGGCTTTCGGAGTGGTTGGAGAGGGGTTGTTGAAGCCAAGAGTCACGGGTGTGGCCAGTAGACGGGGCGACATCTGTGTGGTGTCTATTCTTGAAGGTTTGGAACCCCGTGAAGGTGTATCATATGATAGCAAGGAAGTTTCACTGTTGGTCTTGAAACCAAAACTCGACGAATAGGTTTCGCTAGCTTTCTTAGCCGGGGCTGGTGGAGACAGGGTACTCCGGATCGACCTTCGGAGAGAAGTGATTTTGGACCCTCGAATGGCATTGTTTTTGCTTGAGGCAGATTTGAGAGCTGCAAATCTATTTGGGTTTGGTTTCAAGGTAGCCGGTCGGGAACGCAAAGTTCCACGAAGCTTGCTTTTCTTGGTTTTCTTGTGCTGCTCACTGTCATTTTCCTTGTCACGTAGAACCATTGACGCCGAATGCTTGAGATGTCTACTATTTTGCTCTTGCGATGGCCTATTCAACTTGAAAGTTGACAATTTCTCCCTTCCAAAAATGGATGGTCTTCCTCTCAACTGATTTCTTGATGTCCCAGGGAGATCCTGCTCTCGAGAATAAGAGACAGGAGATCTCATCTTGATACTATTTTTAGCTACGGAAATACAAAACAACGCTCTGACGAATGTCGTTGCGCGGCTCGTCATTTTGGAGCAAACATTTTAAAACATGGGCCAGTTCAAAACTTGTTCTATTCGCCTGGCGTTCGAAAAAGGAGGGAAATCGACGATGTCGAATATTTCGAATTTCTTTCGATCAAATGAATTTTTTACACTCCACCCGCAGCGCAGGTCAAGGACCAAAGCTACCGGTAGATACCTGTAGTGTGCCAGGCTAACATGCATCAGGACTTCCATTGCCCACGGAGAGATAGATGTCAAACCATTTGCCATGCAAACTTGTGTACAAGCAGAAAACGACAGTATCTTTGCTGAAAGAGTAGAGGCGCCAAGGTGGATACGGGTAATTGGGATAGCAGAGGCGGTGGGATGAAAACAAGCCACCCCAATTGGCTTTTGCAGAAGCATCACAATAAGTTCTTTGAGATGCTTCGCTGCCTTCTTGATTTGATTCTACTTTAAAGCTGAAAGGTCTGCCAATTGATGCTATCTCAAAGGGCTGGCTAGACTACTTGTGCATCCGCGGCTTCAAGACGTTCTTAGGCTAGCTACACACAAGTCATATGGAATCAAGGCAATGATTTGCTGACTGAAGATGCAAGGTTCCGTTGATGTTTTCCAACCCTTGAATGGTTTAAATAGAGTAGTAAGCTGTGCAATTTAACAACTTAACCCACCGATCGAATCAGATTATCAGAGTGGGCAGAGCAGAGCTTGGGATCAACTATCCATAGAATCTGATGATATTCAGTTCTATCAAAGCCATACCGGTACTAGCGGTATGCTCAATGTTCGTTCTCCTGTGCTGCAAGAGGAGCTCCTCTTGGTACAACTCAGCCAGGGTACACGCAACAGACCATACAGCGTACGGCATGGTCTGGGGGGATATTATTATGCTCGCGCATTGGGTCCAGGTGGCTTTTCTGCGATGCATGCTAGCCAGCATGAAGAGGAACTTTTGGCCTGAGGCGAAAAATTGGAGGCTGGCCTAAAAACTTTGGAGGAGCGGAGACAAAAGTCCCCCATCCGCAAAACTAGAAGCTCGCAGAGCGGTACTAAAATTGAGGCTGGTGCCATCTGGCACTCTAAAGCAAAGCTTCATTGTATTGAGGCAGTGCTGAAACGTCCTCAATGATGCTCAAGTCTCACTTGTCGATCGAAGAGAAGCTGCTATGGAGCGTTATGTGAACAAGAAAAGCACAAACAGATTACAGCTTGACTGATGGTGTTCTTCTGGCACAGTTCTTCGCTTGGTTCCCTGTCAACAACAACAGCAGTCCATGCGAGAGGGTGATGGCAGCACTGGTGTCGAAGCATAAAAGCGGATAACGGAAAGAGTTGCCTTAGCCTTCAAGCTTCAAGCATTGCTTGTACGAGTTGCTCAGCTCACACCAGTCCAAGCACATACAACACAAGGAAAGACAGCATCCAATAGTCATGGCGGAAGAGGTGAGTTTGTGCTTCACGATTCGATTCGATTGGCAGCAAAAATGGCGCCAACACCCGCGGGGTACTGTGTGTCACACAAGTGCGCACTACTTGCTCATCTCCATAGAGTAGTTGTTTGCCTGTGGGGGCTAGCATTGTACTGTATTTAGTCATTGGTTGACGAAGCGGCCGCAGCATCTTGACTAGGAGTTACCTTGGCTCTGACTGCTGTTGATGATGGCTGTCTGCCGGATGTCATTTGAAGGTAGCGCAGCATGCACGTCACGGAGAATCTCACTTGTCATTTTTTAATGCTGTTCGTCTTTGACTTGTACCCCCATGTCCTCCGATGCATGCTACCCTCGTAACAGAATCTGGAAGAAGAAGAGGCTGCAATACCTCTGGAGGAGGGTATTGGTCTGCCGGTTGGTAAAAAGGGCAAGAAGAAACGAGATGGTTCCACCCTCAGGAAAGCCCCACAGGCCCCCAAGAGATTCAAGAGCAGCTACATTTGCTTTTTTATGGCCAAACAACCAGAAATCAAGGAGGACCTTGGAGATAAGGCAACTGTGACAGAGATCTCAAAGCGTTCGGCTCAGATGTGGTAAGTAGATTCGATTCAGCAAACCTAACTCATCAATGTCCGTTATAGACGCAATCTCACCATGGCTTCATATTATCAATTCGGTACCTGGTTTTTCAGGCGTAGCTTGCCTCCTGAAGAACGTGCTCACTGGGACGATGTGGCAGCCAAAGACAAGCAGCGATACATGGTAGAAAAGGCGTCATATACTGGACCCTGGCAGGGTAAGTTTCGGACCGCACTGCCGTGATCATCGAGTCGAGTCTGCTATTTGCTTATCCCCTGCGTGATTCCTTTCGTCGACGACGTAGTTCCTTGGAAGCGTGCCAAAAAGGACCCCAGCGCACCAAAGAGGTGAGTCGAGTCTTATCAGCTAGCTAGATACACTGAGCTACAGTGCGTCGCAGATGGGAAACCGGTTCAGGTCGGCCCTCACAGTTCCCCAATAATGTCATTTCCAGGCCAATGTCTGGTAAGCACAAACTATGCAGCAAGTCGTCCTGTGGGTCACCTTCTGCTTCTGCAAGCGTTCTGATACCTTGACTCTTTCCATTTTGTTGTAGCATTCCTTTATTTTTCGCAGGGTAAAAGGCGCCACCTCAAGGAGGCAAACCCTAGCATGAAGAACACTGAAGTTTCGAGACTCCTTGGTGAAATGTGGAGAAACGCCCCTGATGATGAAAAGCGCCCCTTCATTGAGCAAGAAAAGGCTGAGCGCGAGAAGTACAAAGTCGCAATTGCAGGTACGTTGCACAAGTATGCTTTATTGCTAAGGGACTCTGTTCCACTTGTGCTCTATTCTCACCTCGACGCGTTCAACTCCCAGACTGGCGAAAGGACAACGACATGCGAATAGAAAAGGAACGAAAAACGCAGGCTGAACAAGCTGCTTACGCAGCTTCGAACATGTATGGGGATCCCCATAATATGGATCCTCACCAACAACCACAGCAACCTTACATGGACCCAAACGCAATGGGTCAATATCACCCCCGGGGTCCACATATGCCACCACCGCAGGGACAGGGCTACATGTACGGGGGGGCTCCGGTGTATCCCTACAGTAAGTTGTTCGAGTTGCTCTTTCACTTTGTCGTGTCACTGTGGATGGACTCTTGAGATCTAAAGTTAAAGTTTGTTTGCTTGTCTGATTGATTGAACCACTGACAGCATACCAGCCAGTAAGCCCTTATCAGTATCCAACCAATGGAAAACAGCCGGTAATTTTGGGGCCTTCAGGAACTCCGGCTGGTCGCTACCCACCACCGCCTCCACCGGGTTCAGTGAACTATGGAACAGGCCCTCCACCGCCTCAACATCACACCCAGCAACAACAGCCAAATGTGCCCATGCCGGCTCCTGCGCACGCCGCTTATGGCTCGCCGCCACCAGGTCCACCTCCACCGCAGTACGGATATGACCTGGGTTCGAGTCAGCCACAGCAACATCAGCAGCCACCGCCGCCACAACCACACACACAGCAACATGATTATCACCCTCACCCTGAAGATGCTGGACTTGATCTGGCGCCGCGGCATCATCGCCCTCCTTATTAGGACAAAGGTTGGGGATTCCTGAAATCGGGCTGGGGATCAAGTTGTACCATTACTGTCAAGCCGAGAGTGTCATGTTTCTGAGAGCCTGCCTCCCCATCTATCTTCTTGTATTGTTTGTTTTGCTAATGTTTGCTATGAAAAAATGAAAAAAGTTGCCGTGCACCCGCGAAGTAAAAGTTTTTGTCGAAGTGAATAATTGATGAACGTCCTTACTGTGCGAACCAAAACCGGGTGCATGCGTTGCAAGTCTGTAACTAATAGTGATCCAATTACTGTGCACAATGAGTTGATATATATATCGGGGATGCGGTGGTATTTGTGCCTCTTGCCGGCGAGCAAGGACCAAATTGGAAGAGGGATACCTCCATCATTATCCGCTCTTCGTTCAACTGCTTTCTAGCAAAGGTGAGACGCAATTGATCTGGGGCACTGCTGACTCATCCTCGGTCTTGGTCTTGACCCTGCCAATGGTTTTAATGGGGCTGCCGCTGCAGTAGCTAGCTGGATCCAGCAAAGTCAAGCCCTTCAGCCCCCACTTTAGTCCTCAGTTTGTCCGACCCTGATCCCACGGAACCTACCGTAGTCCCGAATTCGGCCTCTTCTTTGCCTTAGCCTGGCCCCCGTCGGCTTCCATATACATAAATACCTTTAGTTAGTAGCTATCGTTGAGAGTGGATCCTGATCCTTTCCAATGGGTGTCGCTGTTGCCATCAGGTTTCCAAAAGGACGGATATTACAGGTCTACTGGCTTATATTTTGCCAAGCAAACAAGAATGTTAACCGTCCGACAGCCTCGATCTTCAAAGACGATCCACCCACTCTTAACATCTGGCCGCTTTCGACTGGACTTCGACTGTCACTCTTCATCCCTCTCTCCCAGAACCGTCAGCAGTCTACTAGTAAGCTTGTTTTCTCTTGTGTTTCTCCTTGAATCAAAATGCCGCGAGAAGGCTTGGATCAACTGGCTTTGCCTGGAGCAAATGGGTCGAATGGATCCTCCGGAGCGATGTTTTGGGACAAATCATTGTCTGCATTCAACGCAAATGCTGACGGGTTGTCGTTCGACCACGATTTTGGGGGTGGCTTCCCTGGTCTCACCAGTCGTCGCGATCAAGACCTTGGAGGATCTGTTGAAGCCTTCCCCAATCAGCCGATGAAGCAAGCTGAGACTGAATTCCTTCAATGGGACAAATCGAGCCAACAACGCGAGTTGGACTTGCTGAAGAGCCTTGTTAGAAAGAGCGAAATGAAGGTTCAGAAGCGATCAAGGGAACTTTACGACACTGCCGACGAACGAGATTGGGTAGAGAAGCATGATTCTTCCCTGAAGGAAATTGTGGGGACTCGAAATCTCGGCGGCTCAGCGGCCGACATTGAAAATACAATGCTGCTCAGTAACACATCCGATGGTCGAACTGCTATTCCCCAAATTACGGCCGGTCAGTACCCACAGCCATCTAGCAGCTCTAACGCAAACAGCAATAGTCGTCCCTGCGATCCACAGATTGTTCGCTACCATTTTGAAGTTGTGAAGAATCAGAAGAACAAAGAGACGTTTGCGGACGCTGCCAGTGATCTTGCCAAAAAATCAGAGAGCTCCGGGGTCTTCCCATATTCCACGGCGCTGAAGCTTATTTCGTCCATGATCTCACGACCAAATTTCTCACGAGAAGAGGTCGCCTTGGCTTCTATTTCTCATTTTTCTGCTCAGTTCGACGCTTGGATGACAGGACGAGTTCGCCAGGGAACAACCGTATCCGCTTCCGCTTACAATAGCCCCAGGGCAAACACCGTCGCCAGTTTTATTTCATCGGAACTTGGTGCCGGGGCGGAAACGTCTATATGGCCTTGCCTCTATCTTTGTAAGTCTTTTGCAGCGCCAACGTCTACCTTTTGTTGGCCGTTCTTCATTGTGCAACCTCACAATGTTGTTTTGATTCTTTTTAGGCTTACGGGTTGGAGACGCCGTAGCAGCCAAGGAGTTCTTTGACCGCACTGCTACGCCAAATGAAAGCAATGAAACTAGAATCGCAATTGGCAACATTTTGGCAGCGCTTTGCCAGCGACAAGGCACATTGCCGTCTTTGTGGGATGCTCGTGGGCCTCTTACACTACCGGCTCATGATAGGCGTGCGATTGCGGATGCTTCTGAGGTGTCAACGCCTACTGATAATCGTTTCGAGGTATATCGCACCGGGTTTTTGACGCTCCTTGGGTGCTCTGGCGAGTTTCCATCGTCACGCTTGGCTGGATTCAGCACAATCGAAGATTACCTGTTTGGGATGTTGAACAGTGCCTTGCATCATCCTTCTCCTGAACAACTCGACAGGGTGGGGAAACAAATCGTTCAGTTTGGTCCGGGATATTTCGGCGACCAAGACTCTTCAGGTTGGTCGTACTGTTTGCCACTTCTGGCTTCACAGCAGTTTCGCACCGGTCTGTCTCATTTGTCCCAGGTCGGCGGTCAGACGGGGAGGATGCAAGCAACACACCTCGGAATGTTCCTCTTGGGATCCAAAGGATTGCTGAATATTTTGGAAGAGTCTGAACGGCGCACAACGGAGAGTTTTTTCATTTCTCTGCTGGTTGGCTATGCTACGTGGCTGGACGGCCATCAAGCCTATGGTGCCGTTTGTGCGCTGGAATATTTACAAAACATTCCCGATGAGAACGTGAAGAGGAACGAGGTTCGTGGATGCTGGGTGTGTTATTGTTGTGAATTGCTCTTTGGTTCTTGCTGAGTCATTGTTTGTTCTGCTTCTCCTCTCCAGTTGGTTTCTCTGCTCGTTCGGACCTCTCAAATCGAGATGTTAGCTGGCAGTATCACAATGCAAGACGGCAAGAGAAGCAGGGGTGCCCTTGACGCGCACTTCCCCACTAATGAGGTCTCGTTTTTGTTGAAGCAGGCGGGAGAGAAATGCAAAGATGCCACTGACCGTCCCCGTCGACTTCACGCTGTCCGTCTGTACATGTTGGCGGGTGAGTTCAGGGGCCTTATGGAAATGATGATGCGGCTAATGGTGTCCAGCTCGGAAGTCCACGATGCAGAAAACCAGTATTGGTGTACCGAAAGCAACGGTTTCTGCTCCAATTTCCTCAATCAACCTTCAATCGCTGGTAACTTGGATGCGAATGTGGTTGCCACCTTTTCTGCCATGATCGAAATTGCCAACTTCAAAGCACGAATTCAAGCTGGAGCCCAGCGTGAAGCCTGGTCGGCGATTGATCGCCTGGACTTGATCCCGAAATCTGAAGCTGATGTCTCCAGGATCAAGGAGACGTTCAACGCCATGGCTCCAGTCCTCAAGGAGCAAGTCCCTTGGGTACTGCTTGGTGCTATGCGTTCGTTCTGTGGCGAGTATCATCGGTTGAAGAATGGACTACGGCCAGCAACAGAGAGCACCACTATGGAAGCTCTTCGTGAACTCAAAGAACGGGCTCGGGTAGTGCTTATTTCTGCAGGGATGATCTCCTCCAACGAGGTGAATGCGCGGATTCAGCTGGATACAATGACTCAGCTCGAAGCAAGAATGATCTAGCTAGCCAGGCTACCTGTGGACTCGACCGAGCTATTCTATTCCGCGCTCCAGCGAGACCAATGATTCATTGTATCAAATGGCACGAAAATGCGAGGAAGACCGATGTTGATATAAGGATATTCCGTAGCGGTGTCACAGCAGTACTTCTAAGAATAATCACGACAGAGCGGGGAGCTGGCTTCACTGACAGTGGCACCTGGGCCTTGGCCCATGGGTCGTCCTCAAGCACTTTTCGTCCTCGATTCATCATTCGTTCATTACTTTTGAGTTTTTTTCAAAGATTCGAGCGGGTACTACACCAGGGATCATCATCTAACTAAGTTCGAGTAATAGGATCACTATAGTGCCCCCCCCCGGTACTGGTTGGTTGTTGCCGTCATTGGCGACTGCACGTACCGGTAGCGCACCGGTACAGTGGTCCTGATACCGAACAGCCAAAAAGTTGCTTACGGTGTTTTGTTTAGTCCCGTGCCAATTTCAAATTCGTGATTAAAACTGCTTCCAAGATCCTGGACAAAACAGCACGACAAAGTGATACCAGTACTGTGGAGTGAAGGAAGGGTTGTTGCATTGTATCCATCTATTACCTCTTATTGATACAAGCTAGGTTGTCATCTCTGGAATAGAGCAAGCGGCTGTACAGCACAATTATTTCAAGCTACAGGTTTCTTTGGAGAGAATATTTATGTTAGTGCCGGCACCGGTAGACGCAAAGATATTCTGAGCGCGAAGAAACGACGAAGAACAACTATCTGCCCGAGGAACTACTTTTTGAAACGATCTGCCCAAGATGGCTCAACCTCGTCGAAAAGGCACGAAGGAGCTCCTTTCGGACAAGGGGGCCCATCAGGTGGAGAGGTCTGTGATTTTCTCGTCAATTTGGGATGTCAAGACTCAGCCTCCTCAGAGCTCCAAGACGGCAATTGTGCCGAAAGCACTCCTAAAGACGAAGCGCCGCAAGATCTCCTTGGAGGTCCATCGTGTGTCAATGGAACGAAAGGAAGCATCCAAAGATGATGGCGACAACACTTTTGTTTACGAAGAATGTGTCCTTCGGTAAGTACTGCTGCTAGCTGTCAACTTCTTCTCGATCTGGCAGAATCCTTTTTCTGAATATTTGGACGCATTTTATTATTGGACGCTAGCTTGTGGATTCCAGAGGTCAAGGCAAAAGCAAGTACAAAAGATACGTCCGAGAATTCAGATGACGACGAGGACGAAGACAACTCAGTTTTCACTCCTGTGGAACTGCTGAGCACTGGAGTCCCTCTCCCCGAGCTCACGGGAAAGTGGAGACCCAAATATCGGATACCTTTGCGGTCCCTCACCATTACCAGCACTTTTGATTCTCGAATTTTCCTTCGAATTGATCAGGAAAGCATAAAACAAAAGAGGCAGCTCATATTCGGATCCGTCCAAGATGCCAATGAATTTGTCGCATCATTCAACAGGGAGAAGACGCGCGAACCAAAGCGCCTGGATGTAAAACTCAAGGGATCCCTTGGTGGCATTCAGCTAGATCGAGGTGAAAAGCTCGATCTCCTGATTGAAATTGTATCTGGATGGAACCTTCCCATTGCCGATCTGAGCTCCAGCGATCCCTTCGTCATCTGTTCCATAAATGGAAAAGAGGTCCACAGAACGCACTATGTTCCAAAGAGGTAAGCAGGATTTTCTGTGTTGTGCGTGTGCTGGTTTTTTTTCTTCACTTGTCTTACGCTCATTCATCGTACCCTACATGAACGATGGTCGTTAGCCTCAATCCGGTATGGACGTTGCAAACCGGTTCGCTCTTCATCTTGAGTATTGATGCAAAAGATCTTTTTGCGGGTGATGGTTTGTTCTGTCGAGTAATCGACTACGATGTGCTGAGCAGTGATGATCTCGGATACTTTGTAGTTCCGCCGGACGTCCTCTATAAAGGAAACGGCGAGAGGGAAGTATTCAAGTTAAAGGGGCCGCCCAAATCAAAGGCAGATGTCCCAGGGCATCTAGCCGTCCGGTGTCGGCGAGCTACTCAGTACGACAAGGAGTTCATGGAGGAATTCCAATCCGCTGAAGCCAAAAAGGCTGACACGGTTTCCCCGGCAACACTTGTGGAAGGAGGGCGAAGCAATCTCAAATCCATTATCGAAAAGAAAGTCATGACGGACAAGATTGGAGTCAAACGGGTGAGTAAGCGCTATGGCGGAAGGGTGTGTCTCTTGCAGTCATTGTACCCACAGCTGACATCGCGACCACTATGAACAGTACAAAATTCGGCCGGGTCCTGACCCCAAGCGGAAGGCCGAAACCGAATGGATGACGGAAGACCACATCGAAATGGAACACATGGCCGAATCTCAGCATTGGATTGACTCTGGAAGTGGAAAACTTGGCAAGGTCTACGTCGAAGTCCTCGGATGCGACGGACTTCCAAACCTGGATACGGGTGGATTCCTCGGAAACAAGACCGATGCGTTTGTTTCCATCGTTTTCGAAGATACGGTCGTTCAAACAGATATTGTGGATGATTGCCTGAGTCCTCGCTGGCTGCCTTGGATGAAACGTGCTTTTGTCTTCCACATGATTCATAGCAGTAGCCAGGTGCTGGTTGGTGTGTTCGACAACGATATGGGGATCCAAGATGACCACGATCTAATTGGAAAAGTATCTGTCGACTTGACCAATCTTCACAAGGATACAATCTACATCTTGAAGTTCGACATATTCAAGTCCAGTCAGATGTCCACGAGGAAAGCGAAAGGTTCAATTACATTGCGGATCCGCTTGGAAATCGATGACGAAAGAAAGCTGCTTCTAGCATGTCTGGAACCACCTCCTGACGTGCACGTCAATGTAAAGACCAGGAAGGAGCTGAGGGTGGTCCGATGGACCACCATGGGCAAATACGACATGGAATCGTACAGCATGAAAGTGATGAATTCGTAAGTATTCGAGCGCCTGTCAGTATCGGAATTGCGACTTCGTACTGGTAACTGACGCCCATTTGTTCCTTGGCAAAGTTATATCGAGGAGCTGCTTGCTTACCAGCAAGTCATGTACCACATTGAAGATGGAATCATATCGCTTCTGATGTGGCGTAGCCAAAGCCAGGTGACTTTCATGGGACGTACTATAGCCCTTCCAACCCACTCGGCCGTGGCCTTCATCAGTTTCACCTTCCTCGTTGAGAATCCTCGGTTCCTGCCATCGTTCTTTTTCTTCTCGTTGGCCTGGTTTTTGATCGCTGTAATGGCGTATAGGCGGCAAGACCCCAATCCTTGGCGTCGTTGCAAGTCGTATGGGGAGCTTTTCAACATGCTGGTAAGTGCACGAACAGGGTGCTACTTGCTCCGTCCAATACCGCCTTATGCCGCTCTCTTCGCACTTACGTTGTTCGTCCGTAAATCTTAGGTGCTTGGGCAGTCCGTGGCTCCACCGGACCATATTCGGCGAAACGAAAACATAGAGGCGATTGCAGCTGCAGCTGACGAGTGGCAAAAGCGCATCGTAGAATCAGAAGAACGCAACAAAAAAGCATATGAAGATTCACAGAAGGCTCAAAAGGAATATGAAGAAGATATGCTTGAAATCGGGGAAGCAAAGACGGACATGAGTACCAAACAAGGAGGTGTTTCTGTTGACATTTTCAAGCCAATCTTCTTCCCTATCCAGAAGAATTTGGCAATGGTGTGCCGTATGCTGCGCTATTGCCGAGCAGGTAGGAATTGGGGGACTCCTGTGCCCATTCAGCTTCAATCCTCTGTTCTCTAAGTCTCGTTTGCTTCTCCTGGTGGCTTTCTTTTGTCGGCTTTGTTGCTTTAAAGTTGTCACTTGGGATGAATGCTACTTCACTTTCTGGATATGCACAATTGCCGTGGTTCTTGGCGGAGCATTCCTGTTTGTGCCTTGGCTTTGGATTTTGAAATGGTCTGCCCGATTCACCGTTTGGTCTATCTTTGGTCCGTGGATGAAGCTGGTGGATCTTTTCTACTACAGCAGGATAACACCACTTTCGGAAGATGAGCTGGAAGAGCGTGAAGAGCTCCAGCGGATAACTCGTCAAGAGCTCACGTCGAAGGCTGCAAAAGAGAACCGTATAAAGCGAGGTGCGTTCTTTCCCGGTTCTGGCCCCGACCACATGCAAACAACTGACGAATTTGCCTTGCTATGTATTAATACCACACAAAACAGAAAACCTGGAGAAGCTAAAGGATATCAAAAAGTTCATGTTCGGCGACTTCATCTCTAAAGTGCCAGTCATCCATGCTTCACGCCACAAGGACGTGCCTTTGCCAGCGTCACAGGCAGTGCCCTACAAACCAAAGCCCCTGCCATTGGCCGAATTGGCGATGAAAGAGGCCGGTTATCGAAGGACTCGGTTACCAGGACAGCACCTGGAGGGGGACATGATTCCACGGTACGTGCTACCTTGCTGGCTCACTTTGGTGTTTCTGCCGTCATCTTCGTCGCTCACACCACTCTGTACCTGCGATTCTCCATTCAAAGACTCGAGTCAGTTGCTTTCACCGATGCACCACTGGGTCAAGCTACCGCGAAACCAGATCTGCTGGACAAAGCTGGACCTGGAGGAGGCGCGCCTTCGGTTACCGAATCGACCTCTACGGTCTATGCTAAGCTTGGCTCCGTGATTGCGATTGCTGGTGCTGTTACTTGGTTTGGGGTGCCATTGCTTTCGTTTGCTACTGAGACAGCACTTGGCGCCACTGAGGATGGCCTGCAATGGCTCCTGGGGAGCCCGGATGTGAATGCTTCTGGTTTAGCTTAATTAACTGTGCCTAAGGCCAGGTTTTTACTGTACTAGTCTACTGCTGCCTTCGGTATGCTGAATTCACTGGCGCCGATGGAGACCAGTACGAGAAAGGAAATCGGACTTCATTCCAGTGCGGTATCCGGTACGAAGCCAAGTTTTGTAGAACGTGATCCGATATAACGAGAAGTTTGTCGTCAGTTTAATAGTGTTTTAACTCTACATCATTATATTGTCGACTCTCTTTCGAAGAGTCATGCATTGGTCCCTGCTTTGAGTGTCGACATGTGTCTCCTGATACTCAATTGATGAATTGGCGAGTGTCCAACAGCTGACCGTTTCAAACAAGCAGCCACCTCGCGACACCACAGTCGTAGCTTCGAGGAGACCAAACTCCGCTTCATTCCATGGAATCCAGCTTACGTCGATTCGATTCAATCGTTCACTAGCCATTGCATGTTGTGCGATCTCCGTCCCCGGAGTATAGCGAAACAGTGATGTATCTAGGTGTGATCAGTGGGTCCTGGAGCTAGCTAGCGATGCCGTTGCTTTTCCTGAATCCAAGGTTCACAAACGATGACACCATGTAATCGCCGTGCTTCGACGATCTCCTCAGCCTTTGAAACCTTGCTCAAAGGAATTCTCTCAAGAACTTTTGGTTTTATTGCACCCTTATGCAGAAGACCAATGAGATGGGCAAGGTCCTTCTTCCCTTGCTTCATATCTCGCTCCCACTGTTCGAAAACATTGTGCTTATGTGCTCTCTTCAGAATCTTGAAAACGTCCACTTGACACTGACCCTTTCCAGGGAGAATGACAGGATAGTTGTTAGCTGCACCAGGCCCTCCTAAAAGGATCAACTGTCCTTTCTTTTTCAAAGCATTTAGATGGTCATAGCTCAAAGGGTCCGTATCCTTAAGACCTTCGTTCGCAGATCCAATCAATATGTCGATTTGCTGGGAAATCGAGGGCAGCCATTCCGAAGGGGTTGCACTTAACGGTATCCCACCCATTTCGATGATTCGCTGGAATTGTTTAACTTTGCTGGCAGTTGCGTAGACAACCGATGCACCTGCATCGATACCGAGTTCTATAATTGCCTGCCCAAAGGCGCTCACACCGCCGACAAACATTATTGATTTTCCCGAGAGAGACTTGTTGCGATATCGGACGCTCGAACTCTGGCCAACGTGCAGTGCCTGAAAAGCGGACAGGTATGTTTCAGGCAAGCAGGTCAGCCTGGCGGGATCTTGAATTTGTGCGCTTGACACCTTCACCAATCGTTCTCGGGGGATACACACGTAGCGCGAATTCGACCCAGAGCACACCAATGAAAGCACCTGATCTCCACGTTGCATGCTGTTCCGGCCAGTTTTGTGAATCTGGTCGATCTTGCCTGTAAAAGCTACCCCCGGAATCCTTGGCAGACTAAGGGTTCCTCCCCACCATTCTCCTCTCCGTATCGCACAATCCGACTGCGAAATCGTGGAAGCCTGTAAGAAATGTGGCACGACGTGTCAGAGGGCTTTGATCGTCTTTGATAGCAAAACCCTGTCATGGGGTTTGGGAAGTCTTACCTCAATCTTGACAACTACTTCGTTGGAGCCAAATGGCAGCAGTGGTGGGTTGGGGTGTTCAATTACCTGTAATGCCAGTCGGGTGTCTTTTGGTTTGCTGACCTCGAAGTATGCCACATATGTGTTGACTCCAGACTCATATTCGTAGACGTATGGGTTGGCTACATCATTTTCCTTTTCAGATGTTGTATGGGCATCGCCAGATCGGCTAAGCAGCCTCAAACCCAGGCTCCTCGATGATGCGGAAGCGGTTGCTGCATCTGCACCCCTCCCTTTTCTCGGAAGACGAAAAGGGATACAACTTTTAGTCTCATCCTGTACTGAGTCGATATTGAACATCAGGTTGCCTGGCGATTCCATGTGAAGCCCCTTGACGCCTGGATGAGCGCCAGGAGGCAGTGTTGGCAATGGTCCTAGGTTGTTGCTCCTCGCAACATTGCGAGGATTTGCCTTGTTTTTGGAATGGTAAGTATAGCTGTCCTCAGAAGCAGACATTGTGCTTATTTCGTTGGAGTCGCCTACACTGATATCAGCGATAGGAGGAGCATTAGGCAACCCTTTCATCTTCTTTCGAAGAGACAGTCTCTCCATGTGGTTGGACACAGCAGTTTTTCTCGTTGGAAGCACGTCCGCTTGAGACTTGTTCATGCCCTGTAGCTTTCCCATGCTTAGAATGCAAGTCTTTTCTTTTTCAAGTCCGGTATCAAAGGGAGCAGAGGTACTGTAGATCTTTCCAGGCGGGATATCGTTGTGGTTTTCGACACTGGAAGCGGTCACTCTTGCATTGCTTTGCTGAGGGACATTGTCGTATTCCACCCCACGTTTTTCCTTCTTGGGTTTCCTTTCGGATTCCATGCCCGAAAGATCGTCCAGTATTTGACTGCTATCTGCTGGTGGAGGTGGATCGTCTCTTGCTTTATCATCGTACGAGTGTCTGCTACTCGTGTTGGGTCCACTGTTTGTTCTGTTATCGTTTTCATCCTCTGAGTCATGCGATGTGCTGAGTATTGATTCACTGGCTGTGATGGATTCGGAGAAGATTGGAGGATGTGACGTAATTTCAACAACGGAGGGCCCGTCCTCGAATACGCTGTCATCACTTTGGTCGTCAGAGTAGTTTTCCTGTGATGTACTATCATTTGTTTCGCTTTCCACCTTGCCATTGTTTGGATCAGTTTTGTTGGGATCTAGCAAACTCCAGACGCTCCCAGTCAACACGGGTCTTTCAAAGTTCTGCGAACAGATCATGTTTGACTGCACCGAATCCAGAACGTTTAAGAGTTTCTCTTCCAAAAGACGAGGCTTTTCTTTATCCGAGAGCTGATATCGATGCGTCGTGGGTTTGTCCCACCGAATCCTCTTGTGCTCGGAGTCGTCTTCTTCGTCGAACGATGGCCCCTGCGACGAGTCTGGCGAGGGACTCGCATTCCTGGATGATACCTGCTGAGTAGCATGTTTCGATGAGCTTTTTTCCAACTGATGATGGTGGTGGCGATGGTAGCTTCGTGGTGTCCCCAAGGACTTTTTGACACTTTGTCTTTCTGGCGACTCCCTTTCGACGTACCGATCGGGAGACGGCGGCCCCGCGGATAATCGTCCAGATGACAAAGCCAATCCAGGGGATCTACGCGCAGACGAAAATCTGGAAGAGCTGGTCGAAACCGCAGCTGGGGAAGTTGCTGGTGCGCTCAAGGCATGACCCCTGCTAGAAGAGCCACGGTGACTGCGTCGACTTGACGGCCTTTCGTCTTCTGAGATGTCAGAGTTCTCCATAAGAGACCACCAGGTCGCGCTATTGGTCGAAACGGGGCTTTGTTTATTTGGAGATCCCATTGCCAATACTAGTCTATTATCTACAATCACAGTAACAAACGTTTGTACGGTACCTGATGAGGAACCAAGGGAAAAGGGTAACATTCAACAACAACAAAAGCTGCAGTGTTGGTGCGAAGAAGGTTGTTGGGAGTTGGGAGGGAGGTGAAGCAAATTGTGGTTTCGGTTTTATGGGCGCGCCAGCGTTGCCACAAGCTTTTTCAACGACTAGTTAAAATTCTATGACGTCACATTTAGCCCTGGCTCTAAGCAGTCAAGAAGCTTCCGATTGGATGATTGTTCGGGAGGTCTCTGACGAAACGTTCGAGGCGTTGACAGAATTTATTGCGGAGGCGGTTCGATCAGTTTTCATCACACACTTCCACCCTCAAACCTCCTCGTTGTTGACCATGGCAGACATGGCGACTCTTCATCAACCAGCCATCCAGCGGCGTGCACGCCCTGAAGATGCAGCGATGCATATCACGGTAAGCCCATCTTGACTTTCAACGAACGAACCATCATTGCGACAGGCAAATTGAGAGCTGAATCGTGCGGCTACTAGTAGACTACTCTCGCCGTTGTGATGGTTCTATTTCGTCCTCTCATCCATCATGGCCTCTTTCTTGGCCGCTCTGATTCTGTCTAGGTATCCGACCCTGTGCAGCACCAGGAAGGAATGAACAAGTACACGTCCTACCGCGTGGATGTTCGTCCCCAAGCGACCCCTCCTCCTGGCGAGCATCAAGATAGTATCATGATGCAGCACACGGCATATTCCGCTGTGCTGCGCCGTTATTCGGACTTTTTCTGGCTCTACGAAAGACTTCACACTGAACGAGCGGGAGCTGTTGTTCCCCCCATTCCTGAAAAAACTGCCGTGGGACGATTTTCCCCCCAATTCATTGTGAGTTAGTTGTTAATGGATGATACCGGTACCCTTTGTTTCTTGGATGATCCAAATGCTAATTCGATTCACCATTATCTCTTTGAGAATCTCAGGAGGATCGCCGCATGAACTTGGAACGATTCTTGCGACGTGTAGCTGTTCATCCAGAGCTTGCCGATGCTCCTTGCTTGGATACCTTTTTGCGTGCGGATGATGCTACCTTCCACGCAGCCAAACAGGCCAAGGGCGATGTGGCTTCGACCGGGGGCATGAGTCACCCTCACCAACAAAGTATGACCTACCAAAGTCCTCCCAAAAAAGAAGGCTTAAAGAGATGGTTTGCAGAAGCAAAGACGTCGATTGCTGGTGATCTGGTCAAGTCTCCCGATGACGACCTCTTTGATGAAATCTCACGATACATCCACTCACTCGATAGCCAAATGAAAAATGTCAGTCACCAAGCTTCTGCTTTGGTCAGAAAAGGAAAGGAAATTGCCAATGGCTTGTTCGAATTTGGATTGGCTTTCAATTTACTTGGACAGAGCGAAGCTGACGCCCTCGGGGATGCCCTGGGGAGAATGGGAGACACAGCGGACCGATTGTCTGTTCTCAGTGCGGATCATGCCGAAAAAGAAATGGCGCAGTTTGAGGAACCCTTGCAGGACTACTTGAAGATGATTCATGCTGTGAAACTTGCCTTGCAGCGACGCCACGAAAAAAGACTCACCTACAGTACTTGCCTGGCCGAAGTCGAAGCCAAACAGGTGTCGCTGGGCAAATTGCAATCACAGATGGGCCAAGATGCCAAGGCTTATGCTGCCGAGATGTCCTTGAGACGAGCTCAGCAAGCTGCTGAAGTTGCCAGGGATGATTTTGCCACGGTGTCGCAACGTGTGTTACGAGAAGTAGATCGGTTCAAGCGGGAAAAGGTTAGTGGTGATCGAGGACTCGACTCTTGAAATTCTACAGGTTCTATTCGCTCACAATTTCATTGTCATTGCCCCACCATCTTTAAAAAAGGCCGAAGACATGCGACGCACGGTTTTGGACTACATCAATCTACAGGTTGACTACAACAAACGCATGGAGCAGATCTGGACTGCGCTGGTTCCTCAGCTCGAGAAGGTTCAACTGGATAGCCACAGCAATGCGATTGCTGTGTCATCGAACCAGGACACGAAGCCGGCCCCAAGTCCCACGGTAGCCTCCTCCGAAAATCCTCCTAGTACGTCGGTGGCTCAGCAGGCTGTGCCCCCACCGTCCAATGCAGACCCTGCGAGTGCCGGCATGCTGTCTGTGCAGTACCGTGATCCTGTACCGTAGTTTGCGTCTTTCCCCAAGGTTAATTGTGAATTAATAAGAATACTCTATGATAATGTTGTCTCTACAGGTACCGGCACGATGGTAGAGGTAGCGCGTTCTCTCGTGACTAATGTTATTTATTTCATTTATAGCTGTGATGTTGTGTAACTGAAGATACCAAGAGCAGAACAGGTTGAACTCCGAATTATTACCAAGAGCAGCAAAGGTTGATTCGATTCGATTCAGTTCTTGCCCTCGGAACGCTGCAAGGCAGCAACTATTCATCATTCATCGATCTAGCTAGCTAGGTGTCCCCTGAATACGTAGCATCCACCATCTCCTAGCTAGCAGCAGTATTCTGTACCCTCCTGCGTATTAGATGCACCCCTCTAACCTACCAGCAACACTACGTGCATTTTGAGATACCGATACCCCGGCCGGTACCATCACTAACAACTGAGTGTTGAGACTGACTGAGGAATACTGGCAGGGAAGCGCACCTTGCCCCCACCCAACGGTTAGATCCCACTCTGCAATATTATTATTGTTTTGATCTGACGACTGAGTCTCTTCACTATTTTTGTGGCAGCAGTGCAAGACAACTGATCTCGTTGTTTGTTCGCTGTGGATCTGTTTGTTTCGGCCCCATCATTCTCACCTCACCTCACCTACTGTACCACTGTTGGCAAGGTAAAGGTGGTGCACTGCATCAGCGTTGACGACGTTACCGCTTTTTCGGGGAGCCTTGAATGGCTGAGTCAATTGGTTGTTCGTTTGAAGAAAAACACACGATACAATGAGCTCAACAACATCAGCATCAACGCCTACGTCTCAGCGGGGCCAGAGCAGCTACCCAATGCCTGCTTATTTGAACTTTTGCCCTGGAGGATTGACTTATTCGGGTTCCTTTTTTGGCGAAAATTTCTACTACCAACTTTCTGATTGTACTTCGCCCTCCATTGGAGCCCTGGCAGCTGACAGGAGAAGTCCGACTCAGGCGGCTTTAACTTCGCGCAACTCGCGTCGCAATTCGCAAAATCGACCCTCGGCTCAGTCGAGTCCCCAGGTTGACTCTTCGACTGTCTCCGTTGATAGCCTAGTCTACAAGGCAAAATTGGCCGATGACAGACTGCGGCAATACTCCCTTCTTTCTTCTGGACAAATGGGATCAGGTACTCCTTTTTTTCTCCCTTCTCTGGCTGCTCTGGCTGAGGCGTCCTTTGGACGATTGACTGGTGTACCCCATTCTAGTGTGAAGGCTTGGGCAGATGCAATGGTCTTGCAGTACTTGGAGACCACTCCTGAGATTTCCCCCAGGACATTGGAGGATGCAGGCAGTGCCAAACCTGCTGCCATGAAAACTATCACTGATACAACTTCCTCAGTTCTTCGCAAAATTCTTGAACAGCAAGAGAACGGAAAGCTAGCTCACTTGGCATCCTCTCCGATGTCTCGTGCTCGACCATGTGGTTATGTTTTTAAGAGGGGGGATATTGCCTGGAACTGCCGTACTTGCCAGGCAGATTCCACTTGCGTTGTATGTGACAACTGCTTTCGAAACTCAAATCACGAAGGACATGAAGTCTACTTCCATAGAACAACCCCGGGTGGGTGCTGTGATTGTGGCGATCCGGAGGCCTGGAAAGCTGATGGATGCTGTGATGCTCATAGGCCTCCAGCGACATCCAAAGTAGAATCGAGGGTGGATGACCCGGAGGAAGCCGTGAGAATGGCCAAAAAGTCGTTGGAGGAATCTGAGGAAAGCCTTCGATCGGGAACCACAGCTCTCCCACCAAAATTGGCTGCTGCCCTGGGAGTGGTTATTGGAGCAGCTGTCAAGTGCTTGCTGGAAGCTGCTGACGGTGCTGGGATTGGTGCTGACCCAATCCAGTGGAAAACCCGGTGGTCGGACGAGGCATCACGGATAAAAAATCGTGCTTGTCACAATGAAGATTATTGCTTGCAGAATCCCGTTGCAACTCCTAGTTCATTCCTGAACGGGATCATGCCGGAAACATTGCCAGATGGCTACAGATTACACCTGCGATTGCACAACGACGACGTTCACACATTCGAAGAAGTCATTGATGCGTTACATGAACCCCGACAGTCGCGTCGCAATGTTCAGAGGGACGAGGAACAGGATGTCCCACCGCTTGTTCCCATGAGAGACACCGCTACGGACATGACACATCACGTTGACGCGGATGGACAAGTGACGGTCAAAAGTTACACAACGATATCGGCTGCAATGCAAGGATTTCGGAGACTCAAGTCCCATGGGCTGCACTGTGCTGTGGTTGGATCGTCACAGGTTGACCAGGAACAGCGTGCAAAGGCCTTGTCGTCATGGTTGGCGGATATAAGCTCAGCGCACCCTGCTGCCGCAAGTCTGGTTGTACATGCTCTGGTACAAGTAAACCCCCGGCATGATTTGGCCTCCATATCTGTTTGGCACGAAGCGAGGATGATTCCTGCTTGGGCCGCTCTTGACGTTGTCGACGAAGCACAAGCATGTCAACGACGCTTTCAGGCGTTCCCGCCGCACTTGCCATCCAGTTACGTTACACGAGAACAGGCAGAGACGCTACACGCGTATTGTACGACCGTAAATCCGGGTGCTTTTGTGCAGCAGACAGGTTAGTTTTCTTGGGCTTGCACCGAGCTTCTATCCTTGTTCAGTTTCTGATTCTTCCCTTTTTTCTTTGCAGGAACAAACGCCAATTTCTACGCCAAAGTTCCATATCGCTTGCAGCCGTCGCGATACAGAAAATCGCCTCACGCTCTCTGGGGCACGCTCCCATCAACTTACACAGACCCAATTCCAGTGGCTTCAAAGCACCCTCTGCTCCACTTTCTGCATCACGGGCAATATAATCCAAACGTTCAGAATCGCCTGACCGAGGGTGTGCACGTAATCGATACCGACTTGAGGAAGCAGCAGGAGGCCGACCGGATTACCTCGAGTGTCTACCCTCACAAGCTACCTGGGCTTCACTTGGTCAGCGGAGTTGGCACGAGACCCAGCAACAAAATTTCGGTGGAGCGAGCACCGCTGCCAAACCCCATGCAGTGGCGACATTTGCTCGGGACCTCGTCATTCCGAGCTCCGGCTTCACCCTGCCTCCTGTTGCTGCTATTGGACCCTTACCCAACAAAACAGTTCCGAAGTGCGATCCACGCATTATTTCTTTCCCTCCTAACAGATGCTCGGTTCAAGTGTCGATTTGCTGCAGCACTCGGTGTTGCGTACCGGCCACTCACTACCCTTTTCTGTGCTGGTGTTGGGACCGAAGCGGATTCACCTATTGGTTTCACTGTGCAAATCTTCACCGCAGGAAGCCTTGTTCGAGCACTCGGAAGCGCCTCAGTTGCAGAGCAGCTCTTGAAGTCCGATGACAAGGAAGGCGACGAAGACGCTGAATCCTCCATTGGCGTCTCGACTTCTCCGCTCGCACATTCTATTGTTCGTTGTATTCATACGAACATCCTGGGTGCGACCAAAGAAGTAAACATGATTTTGAACAACACGAAAGCTGGCGATGATAATGACAGCCAAGAGGAAGCTGATCTTGGAAACGGGGGACTTCTTCGGGCGCTCACGTATGTTGCTGGGGAGCACCCTCTCACGACTCCTCTACCTGCAGCACCTGACGACGGCTTTCTGGACTCTAGGTCTACCCGCCACAAGAGGCTGCCACATCTTTTGCGAGATTTAGAATATGTTATTGAAACTCCCGGAACAGCTTTGCGCTTGCTTCTGCCGTCGCGCTTCCCTTCGTATCAAGGGCCGACGGAATCATCCCGTGGTGTCAATGTGCAGACGTTTGCGGCTGTTTTTGCAAGGCTTCTGCGGGTGGCTCAGGGAATGGACCCGCAAAAGCGAAAAATATCTGGAGGGCACGTGGAGTACGAGCAGAATCGTTGGCTAGAGGCATTTGGGCTGAGCTTGAACTTTGCTGGAACCCGTGACGCGCTGGCTGAAAGTTTGGTGAACACGACAACGAACATGATTCTGCTGCAAGGGATGGAAAACAAATCCCGTCTTGGAAGCACACGAGAGGCGATGGGCAACATGCTTGCAGCGTTGCTGCGTGAAATAAAGCTCTGGCTTTACCGAGAAGGAATGCTGGAAACCGGGTTGCCAATCGGTCCAGGTGGCACACATGGCGGGGTCGATCTTTCGCAAGTGGAAGCTCTGCAAAGAAGCACTCTTCATGTATCTGGTGCTCAAGTAGGAATGTCCCCCATCGCATCTGGCGCAGGAGAGTCCTCGAACGTTTCAACGAATGTGAACGCGGTGGCTTTGTCTTGTGCAACCGGTGTAAAAATGACAGAGGCCCAATTGAATTTGATCGAAAGCGCACTTAGAATAGAAAGCGCACAGCACAATCACATGGACGTGATGAACATATCATCGACGCAATCACCCATGAAATGTCCTGTTCTCGGAGACTGGCTACGAGTTCCTCATTCTCCGTTGGCAGGCGACTCGCTGTCATTCCATTTACCTCTCCACCGTGCTCTCGCAAAGACTGTACGAAGCATGTGCGGCATCGTCGTCCCTGAGTCGGTACGAAACAGCCCTGGGTCAGAATGGTGGAAGCTGCCAGTGTTGGACGAACCAAATGTGCCAGCGGGGACCGATTCATCCGCTGCACCATTCAACCATCCCCTGGTTTCTGTGATACGATCTACACTTCGATCATCAAACTGCAGAGTTGTGTGGTCTGCGGGCCCTGATTGCTCGCCACAGGATGCTCAGCAAAGAAGGGCGCGGTCGCGCACCGTTTCTGCGAATATCGCGGTCGCCAAGATCATTCATTCCCTGGCTGATCATCCGATTCGATGCCTTGCTGCTAGCCAACAGATTGAGAGACACCTCTGGGCGAGAAATGGCAGTGCAACCGCAGGAATGGCCTTGAACTACTCCAGCACGCCTCTTTGCCAACGATTCAGAGATTTGGACTTGACGCTGGTTCAGCTGTCGGCTGCTGGACTGAGTGTTGGATTGGGGGCCCGAAAGGTGTTTGAACTGTTGAAAAGTCGTTTCAGCATGGATGGGTATCTGTGCGATCCAGAACGAAGAACGCAGATTGGTTCAAATAGTCCTTCCAGTGGCAGCTATGGCTCTGGCAGCAATAGTCAGTGGGTCAACCCACCAAGAATGCAGGACCCCGATCATGCAGTTGTGTTGTCAGAGTCCTTCTTCTTGACTCTCTGCATGCTGGTTACTGAATTGCCCCCACCACCACCTTCCTCCGAGAAGGACGACACTTGGTTGCGACTGAGTATTAGAAGAGAGCTCATTCACGCGCTGGTTGCAGAAGCGCGATCTCACAGTGAAGCCATGGCGGCTGCGTCGTGTGCTGTGAGTCGGAGAGACGAGAGTGATGGCACTGCTCTCTCAAGCGGAGGCGGGAGTTTGTTTCGAGAGGCGTTTTCGGATGTACTGCAAGAGATCGGAAAGCAGAAAAGCCAAGGGTCATCTCGAGTTTCATCTGGTCCGCCAGCGTTCGAACTGAAGGCAAAGTTTTGTGACGAATACGACCCGACTTTCTTCCACTTGCGTCGCCAAGAACATCAACACGCAATGGATGTCGTTGCAAGACTTCGTAAAACAAAATCTGGAGAAGACGAAGCTGGAGACGCCTTCTGTTTACCCCTCGTGTGCGCTCCGCCCAAAGCACACCCTCGCTTCCTTCCGTGCAGGCTGTTACTTCATTTGCAAGGAATGGACGCTGCTCTGCGTCGTGCCCTTCTTTTTGCATTGACTGGCGGTTCTTGGCTGCCTCCATCAGAGCCTGAAACCGACGCTTGTCTGGAGGACGCCGAAACCAGCCCAGAGCAACCGGCAGGTGCTGAGTCCAGCACTGTGCCGAGACATGGTGATGTTCCGGCAATTGCGTTTGGAGGTCGTAGATCCCTGAGCACTCCTTTGGCCTCTACTTCGTCTTCCTTCAAACGATCCTTGAGCGAGGGGGACAGGCCACCTCCTTTCTCTCCCGACGTTGTGGCGGCTTCATCAGTCTCGTTCTTAGAGGTCTTGCAGCTCTTGACGCTTCAAGTACACACACTGGAAGAATGCGCCTCGCTTCATCATTCAATATCTGATTTGGATGACGAAGCAAAGCTGTTTTCTGCCGGGCTGTCCATAAACTCATATCTTGGTCGCCTTGTGCATGTGCCTGACAGCTTGGCAGGTATTTGGGCTTTCCGTCCTCACCCCCATGGGCCTTTGACTTCAAGTGGCAGTGGTGCCAATCGCGGAGCCATTCTCGGTCTCTTGATTGCTTTGTACGAACATCGTTCAGATCATGGCGCCATTCTTGATTCAGGTGGTGGCAAGGATTACGGGCAAGGTGACAGCGACCATGGCGGTGCACGTGCTCTTGCGTCAAGTGGCTTGAAGTGGCTTCTGCGATTTGTCAATGCTCTGGTCGACGGGGCTCACAGTGTCGGTGCCGCTGTCAAGAGTGCCACCACGGGTGTTCCAGTGAATCGGTCGTCACAGTCTGCTAACGAAAATGAGACAGTATGGACAATAGACGAAAAAATCCGATCTACCATCCGTGGGATGCTGTCGGGTCTTCCAGAGCTCTGGCCGGCCCCTCGAGAACCCGGCTCGACGAATGAGGGCAAAACCAATGACAAGGGTAAGGAAGCAAGGAAGGCTGCTCAAGCACGTGTGCTCGCGATGATGAAGAAGAAACAAGCTGCATTTGCGGCAACAATTGCCCCTGCAGCTGGAGGGGGGAATGCCCTGGACGATGCCGATGACGAAGAGGCGGACCTGTGCATTATTTGCCGATGCGATGACACCTATGGAGAAAACAATGGCCCACTCGGTTATTTGGGCCACGTGCAACGGTCAAGAGTGGCGCAAATGCGGGCAATGAGAGAGTCCGCCTCTAGAGGACAGAATGCTTTCAATGGCATTTCCTTGTTGCAGAAGTACCGCGTCGTCGGACACATGGGATGCCAAGTGAGTGTTGTGTCTTGATGGAACTGAAGGCCGTGGTCGAGTGTTAGTTCTCACGCTTTGTGTGCCTGTATGATATAGCTTCGCGAATCGGAAGCAATGGATTCAAGGCCGCTGTCTTGTCTCCCTCGAGGGAGTATTGTCACGGTGCTCAAGATTGCCATGCTCGACAAATACGATATCCTCTCGCGTCGAGTGCTTGTGAAACATGTGTCAATCAAGCCACAGGAGAATGACCTATTGACAGAAGGCTGGGCAAGCGTGCAGTCTTCGCAAGGATACATCATTTTGAGCCCTCTGGCTTCTGTTTGCTACACGAACTCCCGTTGGGGAGGTACTCGGCCAATCATACGACAGTGCGGGCATGCGGCGCATCTGAAGTGTGTTGAAGCACATACTTTGTCTCTACATCAGCGTGCGGCTGGAGAGCAGCCTTACGACGGCCGCTTCGCGGCGAATATCGACGACGGGGAATTCCTTTGTCCGCTTTGCAAGCAACTGTCGAATATTTTAATTCCACGTGACAACTTCGTGGACGTAGCTCCTTCCGATAAATCAGGTGAAGTGACCATGCAGGACGCAGATCCTGCTCCTGCTTCAGATGGCAAGACGGGCACTCTCAGGAGTGGAGAACCGTTTTCGTCTTTCCATGACAAGATTGCCATGGGAGCAAACTGCACTGCAAAAAGGTTGAAAGTCATCGGAAAGGAAGCCCTGAAAGATTTCGGAGCACATCTGTTCCAAGCTATGGATGTGCCGTGGGAACGCCAACTAGGTTGGAGGAGTCAAAACCAGCTGCACCCGGCTATACTGCGCTGGGACTATGAGGAAGAAGACGACCCCGACGATGACAACAAGGACGGCGACGCAGCACCAAAGGAAGCTCCACATGGGAAGAGCATACTGAGACTACTGCGTCAGCAACATATTGCATGGGCGGCCCTTGGTCATAGCGCCGCGGCACTTGAGGCATCTACAAGAGGAACTGAAGAAGTGCTTCCGTTCGGTACAATGGTGAACACTTCGGACCCATGGTCGGATTTCAAGGCAGAAGAGAAAGACAAACATCCCATGCTGCTGGAACTTAAGCGAACGGTTGCAGGAGTTTCTGGGTTGTATGAAGTGCTCGTCGACGAAGTTTCCAGCGAGCTCGGCTTTGAGAAGTTAGATTCCAAGACCCCTTCGATTGTTGGGGTTCTGCTTGCCGACATCTTCGATGGAAACAATTGGTTCCACACTCTGTCTTCTGATCAGAACATTGACAAGGACACGCTGATGCTTTGGAGTAAGCTCACGGGTCTCATGGCTTCAATCCCTTGCCACGTTGCAAGAGACGGGCAAATTTCAAAGCGTTCCGAGGCGAGGGCTTCCGCTGCTGCAATGTGGACTGTAAAGGGTCTCGGCACTCAACGGAGGAAGAGAACCGACCCCCCTGCACCACTTGCAGTAGCCAAAGTGTTTGACAGCATCAAGAAAAAGTACGAACCGGCCGATGTTAACCCAGGCTGGGGAACGCTTGATCCACAGGGTTGTGGATCCGATCCACGAACACCATTTCGCCCTGCTGTCGCCAGTGCTTTTCTTTACACGCCTCTCCTGGCGTGGGATTTGAGCACGTTTTCTGGGGCCATGTTTTCTGCGGTTCTTGTGAACGACGTTGCTGCACTCCCAACAAGCAAAGAGCTATTGTACCTTGCGCAATCACTACTTGTCTCAAGAATGATCCAGGCAATCATCACGCCCGGGGGGATTGTTCCAGGCTCTGAAATGGATATAGATGGTGACGGCATGGAGTGGCCACAGCAGGATATCCAAAGGGAGGGTTCTGCCTTGCTGCAGCTGGCAACCCGCTGCAGAAATAAAGTGACGGAAGTAGCTTTGCAGGGCTCTACTTTCCTTGACGACCTCGCATCAGTTGAGGCGTTGCCGATGTTTTCGTCGGTTGGTGAAGCGCTACTTCCCTTGTCAAGATCCATCATATTACTCTTGCGAGCTTGCACCGGAGTTATCAGAGAAAGGCAACGCCTGTGCCAGATAGAACCAGCAAAAGAGGATGAATTTGACCAACGGTTGGATACTGTCGTGTACAGTTCCGATATTATGTCATCTGATGATGGATTCCTTGTGTACAAAGCCATTGGTGGGCCTCTTCCGTCATCCATATTGCAGGAATCCAATCCCTGGTGGACCAAGATCACCAAGTGGTTAATTGCGGTTTCAATCTGGGAAGCTCACCATGGGTCGAGCGGAAGAAATGTTGTTCCATTGATTGCTAATATCGCTGGCGTCTCTCCACGAGACCCTACGATTACGGTGTCGAATCGCCTTACGACTGCCGACAACAAGGATGTGAACATGCGAGCTGTGGATGGAACTGTCATGGAATCCAAGCTTAACGATGCTGTCACTACTAACAGTGTTGGTGTCAAGAGCAGCTCGGTAGATCACAATGGCTCAATCGAAGATATGAACGAATCGGATGACGACGAAATTGTGGAAGGAATGGAGTTGGACAATGAGATCCCTGTCGTGGACCTACCTGACTCGGTGGCTGGGCATGATGCGCCGGCTGCAAGGCAAGGGCAGTCGGGGTCTCAATTTCGATCGGAGGATTCATCCGAAGAAGGCAGCCACTCCGATCTCAAAGATGAAGGGGGCCAGTCGGACCGAGAGTTTGCCTACGTTTCTAGGTCTCCAATCATTTCCTACCAACCTAGCGTATTGGGCCTTGTGGGTATTGGAGCCATCAGACAAGGCACATTTTTTGAGTCTCAATCGGCGAACTCGGTTATGTCAGACCTTAGCCACCTTGGACTACTGCATTCAAGAGGTAAGAGAGTCGAAGTGCTTTGAAAGTGTCTTGCCGGACATCTTGTCCTCACACCCTACCCTGTTGTCTTTGCTTCCAGAAATTCCAACTTTCAGCCTGGTGCGACTACCAAGTTCCTTCGTCGAGCTTTATAGTATCGTCAACAAAGTCAAAGGGAGGGACGAGACCAACTTGGTCGATGAATCTGATGATGTGAGCACCTCTGAAACAGCGATTTGCCTGGTTTCAGGAACCGTCTTGAGGTCTGGATCCACTCGTCGTTCCTTCTCGACCAGAGCGGTAAGCCATCTGCAAGATATTGTGTTGGGTGGTGATTTGATGCCATGTTTTTGCTGACCTTGAGTTTTTCGGTTTTGCTGTCCATCGTATGGCCAGGCACGCCCACCTGGTGCTTGTACACTTCATGCCAGAAAGACTGGATCAGGAATTGGAATATTCTTCCTTGTTCAAAAATGTACAGTGCTGCTAATGCATAACAACAAGTCAGCCTACTCTGCGAGTCTGTATGTTGACGAGCACGGGGAGGAAGATCCGGGGTTGAGAAGAGGACGCCCTTTGTTTTTGAACCAGGCTCGATACCGAGCATTGGAGGTCTTGTGGAGGCAGCAGGGAATTCCTCGTGAGGTGGCTCAGATCCGCTCAACTTCAGATAGAGTCATTCGCGATAACTGGTACTAAAATAAGGATAAATAGAAGCTGCAATCAATGCTTGCTGCAAAGGTGGACAGGCACAAACTACGCATTCTTATGTTCCTTGTGGATGATCCTGCAAGCAAGAGCTAGCTAGGAAATTTGCTTCACAAATTGAAAAGGTCATTGACAAGATTTTCTATACCTACGTTTCTTCTACTGGAGTTGTACATGGACCGGTAGATGTGTTCTTCCAAGATCATTGGATGCTGTAGTCGAATTTGATTGTGGTTGCACCCTGGACCCTGGACAAGAATCATTGGATCGAGTCGAGCTGTCGTAGAAAGCATCAAAATGTACAGCAAAGCATCTTTCCTACTCCTTGGAGTTGTATTGGTCATGCTGTAACCCAGCGAGATTTGAGACGCCAAATTCAGCAGAAGAATCCTCCACGGCATTGGACAATCCGAAGGAACAACATCAAATCTGCAAGTCCGAGCGACCCAATCATGATATACAATCGCAACTTCTTGGCTCGGTACTTGTTGTTCAGTTCCTGAAGCTCTCGCTTGGCACTGTCGGTGGCCTCGCGCATGTGCCAAACATCATCATGTGCTTCAGTAAGCTGTTGACGCTGTTGAGTCATCTGCGTGAGGACAGCATTGGCAGTGCCTTCTGCCTGATACTGTGTCTTCGCAGTGTCTACTAAAACATCCGTCTGCTGCTCAGCGTAAGTTTGAGGAGGTTGATACGTCCCATGCTGATAAGATTGGAATCGATTGTTGAGGCCACTTTTCCCATTAGCTGCCGACATATTCGTTTTTGCAATGCAATTTGGAAGAGCTTTTGATTAATACTAGCTAGTACTAGTAGGTCCTTGGTCTCAATGAATGAGGGAACGATGTGATGACAACGAAACTGAGCGCGCTGAATAATAATAATCAGGGGCAAAAGGGGAACCAATCCAAAACTAAAATAAAAATGCAAAGTCGACTGCTGCATGTACGGTGTACGGTACCGGTACTTCCGAACGGTACGATGGTACAGTAGCTAGTTTTACATTACGGTACCGGTGGCAAGCAGCAATAATAATATTTGTGTCACATGCATGTCAAAGGTACCTGGAACCATGCTCCAATTATTTTGCGAGCGCAGACAAGCTGCGCTCGCCCAGAGCAGCTAGGCACGACTAGTAGAGGATTAGGTGAGTGGAGAGACTCGGCCATTTACTGAGCCGACCGTCTCCAGTCCCCGGGGTACCATCCGGGACTGGGGAGTCCCGGATGGATCCCACACGGCGAAAGGGAGTCCCGGGAATGTGATGTTCCACGGGACAGCCTTGAGTCGTGCAACCAGGGAGGGAGAGGTGGGTTAATCTAATCTAGGTTCTTGCTTTCAGTGTCGGCTGAATGAAGAATTGTGAGCTGAGAGAGAGACAACCTTCGAAAGAGAAGAGAGAGACACCTCTGGGCGAGAAATGGCAGTGCAACCGCAGGAATGGCCTTGAACTACTCCAGCACGCCTCTTTGCCAACGATTCAGAGATTTGGACTTGACGCTGGTTCAGCTGTCGGCTGCTGGACTGAGTGTTGGATTGGGGGCCCGAAAGGTGTTTGAACTGTTGAAAAGTCGTTTCAGCATGGATGGGTATCTGTGCGATCCAGAACGAAGAACGCAGATTGGTTCAAATAGTCCTTCCAGTGGCAGCTATGGCTCTGGCAGCAATAGTCAGTGGGTCAACCCACCAAGAATGCAGGACCCCGATCATGCAGTTGTGTTGTCAGAGTCCTTCTTCTTGACTCTCTGCATGCTGGTTACTGAATTGCCCCCACCACCACCTTCCTCCGAGAAGGACGACACTTGGTTGCGACTGAGTATTAGAAGAGAGCTCATTCACGCGCTGGTTGCAGAAGCGCGATCTCACAGTGAAGCCATGGCGGCTGCGTCGTGTGCTGTGAGTCGGAGAGACGAGAGTGATGGCACTGCTCTCTCAAGCGGAGGCGGGAGTTTGTTTCGAGAGGCGTTTTCGGATGTACTGCAAGAGATCGGAAAGCAGAAAAGCCAAGGGTCATCTCGAGTTTCATCTGGTCCGCCAGCGTTCGAACTGAAGGCAAAGTTTTGTGACGAATACGACCCGACTTTCTTCCACTTGCGTCGCCCAGAACATCAACACGCAATGGATGTCGTTGCAAGACTTCGTAAAACAAAATCTGGAGAAGACGAAGCTGGAGACGCCTTCTGTTTACCCCTCGTGTGCGCTCCGCCCAAAGCACACCCTCGCTTCCTTCCGTGCAGGCTGTTACTTCATTTGCAAGGAATGGACGCTGCTCTGCGTCGTGCCCTTCTTTTTGCATTGACTGGCGGTTCTTGGCTGCCTCCATCAGAGCCTGAAACCGACGCTTGTCTGGAGGACGCCGAAACCAGCCCAGAGCAACCGGCAGGTGCTGAGTCCAGCACTGTGCCGAGACATGGTGATGTTCCGGCAATTGCGTTTGGAGGTCGTAGATCCCTGAGCACTCCTTTGGCCTCTACTTCGTCTTCCTTCAAACGATCCTTGAGCGAGGGGGACAGGCCACCTCCTTTCTCTCCCGACGTTGTGGCGGCTTCATCAGTCTCGTTCTTAGAGGTCTTGCAGCTCTTGACGCTTCAAGTACACACACTGGAAGAATGCGCCTCGCTTCATCATTCAATATCTGATTTGGATGACGAAGCAAAGCTGTTTTCTGCCGGGCTGTCCATAAACTCATATCTTGGTCGCCTTGTGCATGTGCCTGACAGCTTGGCAGGTATTTGGGCTTTCCGTCCTCACCCCCATGGGCCTTTGACTTCAAGTGGCAGTGGTGCCAATCGCGGAGCCATTCTCGGTCTCTTGATTGCTTTGTACGAACATCGTTCAGATCATGGCGCCATTCTTGATTCAGGTGGTGGCAAGGATTACGGGCAAGGTGACAGCGACCATGGCGGTGCACGTGCTCTTGCGTCAAGTGGCTTGAAGTGGCTTCTGCGATTTGTCAATGCTCTGGTCGACGGGGCTCACAGTGTCGGTGCCGCTGTCAAGAGTGCCACCACGGGTGTTCCAGTGAATCGGTCGTCACAGTCTGCTAACGAAAATGAGACAGTATGGACAATAGACGAAAAAATCCGATCTACCATCCGTGGGATGCTGTCGGGTCTTCCAGAGCTCTGGCCGGCCCCTCGAGAACCCGGCTCGACGAATGAGGGCAAAACCAATGACAAGGGTAAGGAAGCAAGGAAGGCTGCTCAAGCTACTTGTGTGCTCCGCGATGATGAAGAAGAAACAAGCTGCATTTGCGGCAACAATTGCCCCTGCAGCTGGAGGGGGGAATGCCCTGGACGATGCCGATGACGAAGAGGAGCGGACCTGTGCATTATTTGCCGATGCGATGACACCTATGGAGAAAACAATGGCCCACTCGGTTATTTGGGCCACGTGCAACGGTCAAGAGTGGCGCAAATGCGGGCAATGAGAGAGTCCGCCTCTAGAGGACAGAATGCTTTCAATGGCATTTCCTTGTTGCAGAAGTACCGCGTCGTCGGAACATGGGATGCCAAGTGAGTGTTGTGTCTTGATGGAACTGAAGGCCGTGGTCGAGTGTTAGTTCTCACGCTTTGTGTGCCTGTATGATATAGCTTCGCGAATCGGAAGCAATGGATTCAAGGCCGCTGTCTTGTCTCCCTCGAGGGAGTATTGTCACGGTGCTCAAGATTGCCATGCTCGACAAATACGATATCCTCTCGCGTCGAGTGCTTGTGAAACATGTGTCAATCAAGCCACAGGAGAATGACCTATTGACAGAAGGCTGGGCAAGCGTGCAGTCTTCGCAAGGATACATCATTTTGAGCCCTCTGGCTTCTGTTTGCTACACGAACTCCCGTTGGGGAGGTACTCGGCCAATCATACGACAGTGCGGGCATGCGGCGCATCTGAAGTGTGTTGAAGCACATACTTTGTCTCTACATCAGCGCGCGGCTGGAGAGCAGCCTTACGACGGCCGCTTCGCGGCGAATATCGACGACGGGGAATTCCTTTGTCCGCTTTGCAAGCAACTGTCGAATATTTTAATTCCACGTGACAACTTCGTGGACGTAGCTCCTTCCGATAAATCAGGTGAAGTGACCATGCAGGACGCAGATCCTGCTCCTGCTTCAGATGGCAAGACGGGCACTCTCAGGAGTGGAGAACCGTTTTCGTCTTTCCATGACAAGATTGCCATGGGAGCAAACTGCACTGCAAAAAGGTTGAAAGTCATCGGAAAGGAAGCCCTGAAAGATTTCGGAGCACATCTGTTCCAAGCTATGGATGTGCCGTGGGAACGCCAACTAGGTTGGAGGAGTCAAAACCAGCTGCACCCGGCTATACTGCGCTGGGACTATGAGGAAGAAGACGACCCCGACGATGACAACAAGGACGGCGACGCAGCACCAAAGGAAGCTCCACATGGGAAGAGCATACTGAGACTACTGCGTCAGCAACATATTGCATGGGCGGCCCTTGGTCATAGCGCCGCGGCACTTGAGGCATCTACAAGAGGAACTGAAGAAGTGCTTCCGTTCGGTACAATGGTGAACACTTCGGACCCATGGTCGGATTTCAAGGCAGAAGAGAAAGACAAACATCCCATGCTGCTGGAACTTAAGCGAACGGTTGCAGGAGTTTCTGGGTTGTATGAAGTGCTCGTCGACGAAGTTTCCAGCGAGCTCGGCTTTGAGAAGTTAGATTCCAAGACCCCTTCGATTGTTGGGGTTCTGCTTGCCGACATCTTCGATGGAAACAATTGGTTCCACACTCTGTCTTCTGATCAGAACATTGACAAGGACACGCTGATGCTTTGGAGTAAGCTCACGGGTCTCATGGCTTCAATCCCTTGCCACGTTGCAAGAGACGGGCAAATTTCAAAGCGTTCCGAGGCGAGGGCTTCCGCTGCTGCAATGTGGACTGTAAAGGGTCTCGGCACTCAACGGAGGAAGAGAACCGACCCCCCTGCACCACTTGCAGTAGCCAAAGTGTTTGACAGCATCAAGAAAAAGTACGAACCGGCCGATGTTAACCCAGGCTGGGGAACGCTTGATCCACAGGGTTGTGGATCCGATCCACGAACACCATTTCGCCCTGCTGTCGCCAGTGCTTTTCTTTACACGCCTCTCCTGGCGTGGGATTTGAGCACGTTTTCTGGGGCCATGTTTTCTGCGGTTCTTGTGAACGACGTTGCTGCACTCCCAACAAGCAAAGAGCTATTGTACCTTGCGCAATCACTACTTGTCTCAAGAATGATCCAGGCAATCATCACGCCCGGGGGGATTGTTCCAGGCTCTGAAATGGATATAGATGGTGACGGCATGGAGTGGCCACAGCAGGATATCCAAAGGGAGGGTTCTGCCTTGCTGCAGCTGGCAACCCGCTGCAGAAATAAAGTGACGGAAGTAGCTTTGCAGGGCTCTACTTTCCTTGACGACCTCGCATCAGTTGAGGCGTTGCCGATGTTTTCGTCGGTTGGTGAAGCGCTACTTCCCTTGTCAAGATCCATCATATTACTCTTGCGAGCTTGCACCGGAGTTATCAGAGAAAGGCAACGCCTGTGCCAGATAGAACCAGCAAAAGAGGATGAATTTGACCAACGGTTGGATACTGTCGTGTACAGTTCCGATATTATGTCATCTGATGATGGATTCCTTGTGTACAAAGCCATTGGTGGGCCTCTTCCGTCATCCATATTGCAGGAATCCAATCCCTGGTGGACCAAGATCACCAAGTGGTTAATTGCGGTTTCAATCTGGGAAGCTCACCATGGGTCGAGCGGAAGAAATGTTGTTCCATTGATTGCTAATATCGCTGGCGTCTCTCCACGAGACCCTACGATTACGGTGTCGAATCGCCTTACGACTGCCGACAACAAGGATGTGAACATGCGAGCTGTGGATGGAACTGTCATGGAATCCAAGCTTAACGATGCTGTCACTACTAACAGTGTTGGTGTCAAGAGCAGCTCGGTAGATCACAATGGCTCAATCGAAGATATGAACGAATCGGATGACGACGAAATTGTGGAAGGAATGGAGTTGGACAATGAGATCCCTGTCGTGGACCTACCTGACTCGGTGGCTGGGCATGATGCGCCGGCTGCAAGGCAAGGGCAGTCGGGGTCTCAATTTCGATCGGAGGATTCATCCGAAGAAGGCAGCCACTCCGATCTCAAAGATGAAGGGGGCCAGTCGGACCGAGAGTTTGCCTACGTTTCTAGGTCTCCAATCATTTCCTACCAACCTAGCGTATTGGGCCTTGTGGGTATTGGAGCCATCAGACAAGGCACATTTTTTGAGTCTCAATCGGCGAACTCGGTTATGTCAGACCTTAGCCACCTTGGACTACTGCATTCAAGAGGTAAGAGAGTCGAAGTGCTTTGAAAGTGTCTTGCCGGACATCTTGTCCTCACACCCTACCCTGTTGTCTTTGCTTCCAGAAATTCCAACTTTCAGCCTGGTGCGACTACCAAGTTCCTTCGTCGAGCTTTATAGTATCGTCAACAAAGTCAAAGGGAGGGACGAGACCAACTTGGTCGATGAATCTGATGATGTGAGCACCTCTGAAACAGCGATTTGCCTGGTTTCAGGAACCGTCTTGAGGTCTGGATCCACTCGTCGTTCCTTCTCGACCAGAGCGGTAAGCCATCTGCAAGATATTGTGTTGGGTGGTGATTTGATGCCATGTTTTTGCTGACCTTGAGTTTTTCGGTTTTGCTGTCCATCGTATGGCCAGGCACGCCCACCTGGTGCTTGTACACTTCATGCCAGAAAGACTGGATCAGGAATTGGAATATTCTTCCTTGTTCAAAAATGTACAGTGCTGCTAATGCATAACAACAAGTCAGCCTACTCTGCGAGTCTGTATGTTGACGAGCACGGGGAGGAAGATCCGGGGTTGAGAAGAGGACGCCCTTTGTTTTTGAACCAGGCTCGATACCGAGCATTGGAGGTCTTGTGGAGGCAGCAGGGAATTCCTCGTGAGGTGGCTCAGATCCGCTCAACTTCAGATAGAGTCATTCGCGATAACTGGTACTAAAATAAGGATAAATAGAAGCTGCAATCAATGCTTGCTGCAAAGGTGGACAGGCACAAACTACGCATTCTTATGTTCCTTGTGGATGATCCTGCAAGCAAGAGAGTCTCCAGCTAGAAATTTGTTACAAATTGAAAAAGTCATTGACAAGATTTTCTATACCTACGTTTCTTCTACTGGAGTTGTACATGGACCGGTAGATGTGTTCTTCCAAGATCATAGGATGCTGTTGTCGAATTTGATTGTGGTTGCACCCTGGACCCTGGACAAGAATCATTGGATCGAGTCGAGCTGTCGTAGAAAGCATCAAAATGTACAGCAAAGCATCTTTCCTACTCCTTGGAGTTGTATTGGTCATGCTGTAACCCAGCGAGATTTGAAACGCCAAATTCAGCAGAAGAATCCTCCACGGCATTGGACAATCCGAAGGAACAACATCAGATCTGCAAGTCCGAGCGACCCAATCATGATATACAATCGCAACTTCTTGGCTCGGTACTTGTTGTTCAGTTCCTGAAGCTCTCGCTTGGCACTGTCGGTGGCCTCGCGCATGTGCCAAACATCATCATGTGCTTCAGTAAGCTGTTGACGCTGTTGAGTCATCTGCGTGAGGACAGCATTGGCAGTGCCTTCTGCCTGATACTGTGTCTTCGCAGTGTCTACTAAAACATCCGTCTGCTGCTCAGCGTAAGTTTGAGGAGGTTGATACGTCCCATGCTGATAAGATTGGAATCGATTGTTGAGGCCACTTTTCCCATTAGCTGCCGACATATTCGTTTTTGCAATGCAATTTGGAAGAGCTTTTGATTAATACTAGCTAGTACTAGTAGTCCTTGGTCTCAATGAATGAGGGAACGATGTGATGACAACGAAACTGAGCGCGCTGAATAATAATAATCAGGGGCAAAAGGGGAACCAATCCAAAACTAAAATAAAAATGCAAAGTCGACTGCTGCATGTACGGTGTACGGTACTTCTTATTAAAAACAAACCGGCTTACTTAGGGGTTGAGGCAGGGACCCAGGTCGGAGGTCTGACCGAGGGCTTAAGAGAGGGCGCAAGCCCGACAGCCCGATGGTCAGGCCGGAGACCGATGGGGCACAGCCGGCCCTAAGTAGCAGGTTTGTTTTGAAGGGAACGATAACGGCTGGTTTTGTATGACTTATGGGATAGTTAACGGCCGGTTTTGTATTTAACGGTCGTTTCAGTAGAACACGTAGAAATCCTACCGTACCAATACAAAACCTGCCGGTTCGTTCCGAACGGTACGATGGTACAGTAGCTAGTTTTACATTACGGTACCGGTGGCAAGCAGCAATAATAATATTTGTGTCCAATGCATGTCAAAGGTACCTGGAACCATGCTCCAATTATTTTGCGAGCGCAGACAAGCTGCGCTCGCCCAGAGCAGCTAGGCACGACTAGTAGAGGATTAGGTGAGTGGAGAGACTCGGCCATTTACTGAGCCGACCGTCTCCACACATCGGTTCAGGGAGGACAATAGGCGCCAGCCGCACCTCCACGGCCGACAGGGAACATTCAAATATTCATACTAGAGTTTTTTAATATAAAAAAGGTTAGGGTTATAGGACGACAGAACGAGTTGACACCACCAAATAAAGCATCGACCATGAGGATAAGAGGATCTGTTAGAAGCCAATGATCAAGAACGGCGGCCACGGCCAGTGAGCTGTGAGAACTCGTTCATCTCTTCTGCTGCCGAGGAATCTGAATCAATCGGCGGAGGAGGAGGCATGCGACGACGCTGGCGGGTACGAGGAAGAGTCCGCTCAGCAGGCATCATCTCTTCTGGATGGGGACGTGTGGCTCCTGCAGTTCTGCGTCTGCCTTGGCAGCCATTTGTCTTGCGAGCATCAGTAGCTGGAGCAGGGGCAGGAACAGGGGCGGCAGCGGCAGGAACAGGGGCGGCAGCGGCAGGAACAGGGGCGGCAGCGGCAGCAACACGCTTGTAGGTCATTTTGAAAATGCTGGCGCCTCCACTGAAGATTACGTTGAGTGTGTGGCCTCCCTGATTGGTGATAAAGCGAAGATTTCCATTGGTGGAGGATGAAAGCAAGCTGGCGTCCAAGTTATGCAGAACAATGGTATTAGAATTGGGAATGAACCGATTTCCTTGCAAGCAACAGTACATATCGACATCCCTCCCTTTGTCTACACAGCGCTCGATGCCATGACGGATGCCAGAAACAATGATTTCAAAGGTTTTGGTTGATACAGGTTTGGGATCGCCGCCATCTTTTGAGAAGAAAGCGATCTTTACTTCTTCATTGGTGAGTCGATTTGCCATCTTCCATTACTATGGATCCGAATAATGAGTGTTGGGGATTCGCGATTAGGGATTCAACCCCTGTACCTCTGTACTAGAATTTCACAGTAGAAATACAGAGCCCACCCACTTTTTCAGTAGTATCTCAATAGCAACAGTAAACTAGAAGAGAGCTTAGAGCAACTAACATACTACTGAAAAAGCGGTCTACTATCGAGTTGAAGAAGAGGAGCCTATCGAAGCAGTCAAACGGTAGCAGGAAGAAGCCACGTTCGAACGACCGTACGAAGTGTATCGGCCGACGCCGAACGCGACGCGAGGAGAAGAGTGTGGACGACGAGACCGTCGAAGCGCAAGGATCGATAGAAGACCAAGCCTGTCGTTTTCGACAGCAACAGCGAGGAGACTGTCAACGACAGCAACAAGAGAAGCCTGTCGAAGGAGCAACAGCAACAGCGACGGCGCAACGGATCGCGACGACGCAACGAGTGAAGGATCCGAGGACGGATTCGAAGAACAAGCTCGGACGACGGATCGTCGTGCCGAGAGAAGACTGCAGCCAACGACACGAGTATCGGTCGACGGCAACAGCAAGAGCCGACAGCATCCAGCCGGAACTGTCAGAGCCAACAACAAGCGCGAAAGCCATAGTGCCAGCGCAGGGGCCAAAGGAAAGGCACCCAACAAGGAATCAACAATACAAAGAAACGGGTTCGGAGTGGAACGACCGCACAGAGTGTGAAGCAATCGTTCCCTCCCTGCATAGATCTTTAGTTAAATAGATTTAACACTCCCTTAGCCAGGAGTATAATTTGAAGTTTATCGCCCCATAGCCCATAAGACGAATAAGTAGTCGGACGAGAACTTAAATAAAAAGTAGCTAGCTCAAATCAAAAAAAGAAACGAATTGAAACAGTCCACCTACCGTAGCATAGACGATGAGCGGTAGGGTAGAAGGACGAGGTGGCTGAGGAGGCGGCAAAGCACGAGGCATGGAAGAACCAGTCCCTTCGTCGAACCAGCAAAAAGTTCATGCAAAGCCCTCGACTCAACATGTGTTTAACTTCGCTACAACTGGACTGGAACGGCAGACAGATGATACGCACATGGGAGAAGATCGTCCTCCAGTTGGACAAACGATGGGTGACGACTATGAGCATGAGACTACAACACATGTTTAGCACCGTGTGTACTCAGAGTGACCCGGACGGCTGCATACGTCCGACATGCGTAGCCCATGTGGAATAGATGCGTGCTTCCATCGTGCTAACCGAGAGCTATGCTACTAGATGCAGAGCCATAACCAGCAGCTCAACACCAGACCACCACTCTGGTAGCTTACGACTATCAACGCAGAATCAAGTTATTCGAAAAGGACTTACGACATAGCCGACAGCGTGAAGCAGGACCGGGACTTCGAGAGCTCGGTATGGAGGCTAATAAGACCCACCTGAGTACTGAGGTGCAACGCGAACTACATAGAAAATAGAGGCAGGTATAGCCTTGACCCCAACGCATTGATTCTACTAGGCAGTGCACAACCGCTGTACAACAGAGAGCGGCAGTAGGTATGCTAGCAGAAGGACTCAAACGTATCCGTCCTGTGCTTCAAGAATTAGCGACTCCTTGATCTATGGCATGCTCGACTGGAAAGAATCTACGATTCCACTACTACGATCACAGTATCATGGCCAAGACAGATGATAATTTTGTTTACTCACACATTATTTCAACTGGAAAAACAACTGTTGAATTTCCACCAAGGGAGCCTTACCGCTTCCGAAACCACGAGCAATTTACCATGAAAAGGGACATTGCAAAATCCGTGGGTATTTCTCAAGCTACACGACGCAGCGCTGCTTCATACGGCCAACCTACTCCACCCAGACACAGAATACGACTGACCTGGGAGTCGAAGACCAGAGACAGTCTCGGCATACGCAGAGGAATCGGTACTATAGTTATATCTCTCTTAACAAATAGTTCAGCCGAAAATACCAACTTAAACAAACCTGAGGGACGACTTTGTCCAAATGGCACTGATAACAATCCCCACACGTTACATGAGGTTTTACACCTTTTGGACAAACCACCAAGAGTAACATCCCTACGACAGTCCACTTCCCACGGAAGCTCTTTGCTCAGACAGTCTACACGGCGTGTGGGTGAGAGGACGCGTGTGTGGCAGAGGAAAAGGCCGCGGAAACGCGAGCTTGATAAAGAATACTGGAAAGAAGAAGAATGCTTTTCCTGCCACGAATAAAGACATCCAGCCTCGCACTGGTCCTGACAAGATAAAGACAAAGATAAAAGAAAAGATAAAGACAAAGACGACGAATGACAAGTCTAGGTATCGAGCAAGCGTAGCAAGTAAGTTATCGTCGAGTCAAGAAAGCTCTAGTAGCGTTCAAAGGGACCCTAGCTACTATCAGACAAACTGCAAGATAATATGAAGACAGCATTGACACCCCTGGAGGAAGAACAGATGATGCCGATTCTGACAACACGCAGTGCAGATTAAGAGAAAGTCTGAAAAAGGTTTCGTTACGTTCGTACCGCTAGTTCGCGGACGAACGAACGAAACGAAAACCGACTAAGCAAGAATAGTCGCCCACACAAAAAGAATGGACGACATAGATATGAGAGAGATCACAGCACTGGACAACAGTCCACGTTGGAATATTCTGTAATAAAGACAAGGTTCCGACATCAGGAAAACCGATCGCCAATTACAGAGAGAGTAGCCAGAGGCAAGAGCTGAAGGTCCAGCATACAGCCAAGTTAGCTGGCCACAAACGGTTGCACATCTTCTTTCTGTGTAGAATTGTCCGCAGAATTTTGCAATGTCTATTGATCTGTCGTAATAGGAAC